ATACAGTGGTACCTCAGGATACGAAATTAATCCGTTCCGAAACTGAGATCGTATCATGAAAATGTCGTAAGGTGGATCATCTTTTCCCATACGATTACATGTAAAACCAAATAATTCGTTCCAATGCGAAAAACATACTCAAATTAAAGCCAAGTAATACATTTAAAAAAATAACTGTAGTAAGAAAAACAAATGAAAAATGCGAACTAATGTAACATCGTATGGTGAGTTTTTGTTCGTATCGTGGAACAAAAATATGTTCGAATTTCATGTCGTATCCTGAAAATTTCGTATGCTGGGGCGTTCGTAACCTGAGGTACCACTGTAGTGTAGAAACATTTGGATGTTAAGGAATGGAACTATCCTACAGCTTCTACAAGCTAAGCAGTGTTAACAATTATATTATGTAGACCTTTGTTTCAATTTTTATCTCCAGATACATAGGTAATTTAGAATCATAGTACAACTGTATAGTTATATGTAATTTAGAATTATGTTTGTCAAAGCAAAGATCATAATGAAGATTGAGTTAATGTTTTTGATAATGAATTTGCCCCATTTGTAGGGATCAAATTCTGCTTTAAATATCTGATTTTTTCTTTTAGATATTTTAAAATTATTTTGTAAATGAAATAATTTAATTCTAATCCTTAAATTTATTACAAAATGACAGCATTGCCTAATGCCATAACTAGGCAGCTGCAACAGGTGCACCCACACAAAACCCACTTGGAAGGGGAGCCCAAAATGTGTGTATTTGTTTTATTAATTAATTTCCCAAACCTAATTAATGGGCCTAAATGCAAATTCTTGCACGGGGCACTGGCATTGCCTATCTTAAATGCCAAATAATTCAGTAAGTAAATTGAATTTTAACATAAATGAAATCCATATTTCCTGTTATTTGATTGACATATGAAAGCTATTTCTACTGTGAAATTGTTAACAATAATAAGTTTAAAATTATGTTTTAATTAAAAATTTTTGTCAAATCATTATGGCACATGGACATGTGCTTAAAAACGTATTTCCATCGTCATATGGAAATGTTTTTAAGCAAACACCATAGTGTACAGTACTTAGAACAAACCTACACTACATACATATATCTTATATGGTAAAACCTGCATAAACTGGAATTGCACTATATCAAATATTTTTTCGAGTTTGGCAGGTTTCCGTTTTGAACAGGATTTTTTAACATAAAAATATAGCTCCGTTTCAAAGAATTTTTCCCATTTAGGCAGATTTCCATTTTATTCAGGTACTGTTTTGGACAGGTTTTACTGTATATCTCTGAACATGAATCTTTCAGCTCCATTATAATCTTATGGGTTTAAAGTAGTGTATATACCTGTGCAGTATTAATAAATTTTGAAAGTGAAAAAATTTAACTAAAACTTAAAAATTCTTAAATACATTATTATTAGGAAAAAAAACTTTTTTATCTTGATTAAAAAACACAAAGTATATAATTGTAGTTCTTAATTTTAAACTATAAACATAAATTGTAATTCTTACATCATTCATCTTTCTTTCCAAAAAGTCTCTATACTAAAATTAAAACTTATTCTTTATAAATTTTTTAATTTCTATAAATAATATTTCTTTACAAATTTAAAATATATTTTTATTATTAAAAGAAGAAAATTAAAAAAAAATAATTAGTCATTATAGATTAAAAAATTTAAATTGATTTTTTAGGAGATGTGAATGAAGATACAAGAGCTGCTTATGAAGAAGTAATGAAAACTCTTAAATTACAAAAAGAAAATTTAGAAGAAACATTGTATAAAAAGTTAGAAGAATTAAAATTTCTTTGCTTCAAAGAAGGTGTAAGATCAAACATTTTAATTTATATTTTAAAATAATTGTTTTAAAATATTTATTTGCTGTATCAAAATTATTAGGAACTGATTGGAGAACTTCCTCCAGAAACTCCCTTAGAATTGTTTGGAGAGTCTCTAAATACTGGATACACGGTAGATGATATGTTGCTCAAACAGAAAAGTGAAAATGTAAGAAAATAATTTTAATTTCATAAATTATTTACCATAAATTAAAATAGAAATATAAACACTAAAATTGAGTTAATCAAATTTTTCTGTAGATTAGAAAAAATATATCTTTTCTGAAAGTGAATTGTTTATTTCAAAATTTCCAGTAAAAAAAAAGTGTGTATGATCAATTTACAAAATTTGTTTTATCAATACAGAATCAAAACATTAGTACTTTAGCTTTTATCAGTTAGAATACTTTCATTTATACATTGCACTCTTGCTAATCTAAAATAGAAATATAAACACTAAAATTGAGTTAATCAAATTTTTCTGTAGATTAGAAAAAATATATCTTTTCTGAAAGTGAATTGTTTATTTCAAAATTTCCAGTAAAAAAAAAGTGTGTATGATCAATTTACAAAATTTGTTTTATCAATACAGAATCAAAGAAAAGCATACATTAGTACTTTAGCTTTTATCAGTTAGAATACTTTCATTTATACATTGCACTCTTGCTAATCATCTGAACTAGCTTAATTATTACATGGGATTGTTCAATTAGCAGGGTTATATATAAAGGAAAAAAGACCCTAGACCAGCATGGACCTTTGCTGGAATGCAGCAAAGGCCCATTCAAATAGATGTGTATCAGACACAGGCTTTATTCATTATTATTTGGTAAACCAAAACATACTGTATTTTTTATGTAAACAGTTAGAAGTTTGAATTGTTTCTGTTTTAATTCCCACAAGATGTTAGAAACATCGATTTTTAGAAAAGTGTGAGAACCGAGGGGGTTAGAGTGTTGTGCTTCTCCCCTCTTACCGGCTTCAGTTAAGTGAGTGGGAGGGGTAGCAAGGCTGCAACAAGGTGTTGGTTGTACTCAAGAATGACACATAATTATGTGTCATCCTTGAGTAGGAAGTTAGAAATAACATATTTAATTAAATATGTTATTTCTAACTTTAATAAACTATTAAACAAACAAATACAAATCAAATATATCAAATAAAGCAAATATATTTTGGAATCGTGACAGGGATATACAGTCATCAATATATCATATAACATCTAGCCTATACAAGGCATAATAGTTTCTAAGTTTAACCAAGGGATTCTATAACCGAGAGAGCGAAAGTTAGTCTAGAAAATATTACCTTTTTAACCACAGCGATCCAGAATTTAGAAGTGGGTATGTCAGAGTTCAGAGCAGGGATTCGAAGAGGTTCAGTCAGAAGTCTTCCCCTTGATGATCGCCCCGAGGAGTGGGTGCGACCCCTTTTTATACACGTCCCAGAGGGGGAAAGTTCGGGGAACATTTGGGGAACATTCTGATGCAATTTCACGTAAGTTTGACTGGATGGGGAAGATTTCGATTTCTGACAATTAATATAAACATTTCGGTAGAATTATTACTTGTGCTATCCCGTCTTGTTACTCTTTCTAACTCATAAATTTGATAACAGTTGTCAAACTGACGGAATAAATGGCTGGAGGTGACTAAGGTTAGGATATATAGTGCAACCTTAGTAGTAATTGTTCATTTGGTGAGTTATTCAATTGTTTTTATCATTGTTAAAATCGGTCAAAGTAATAAGTGAGGGGGTGGGTTTGGTTCGTACTCCACTTGTGGTGACCTTTCAGGTTACTCTCTCTCGTATAATGATTTGAGGTTTTTGTTAATTGGCACGTTAGTCTGTAACTGGCAACGAAGGTACAAATGAATTATCCCCGGGAGAGGAGAGAAGTTTGGCAGTCGTTCGAGATAACTTTGGAAGAAGGGAAGGTCAATTATTGTTATGATGTTTAAAGTTGAGATTAAAGGTCCTTCTGGAAACTGGAGAATGAAGGGAAATAACGATGAAAGAAGAAAAAATTATAATGTTTTAAGTTTTTAAAACTCTCAAAAGAGAGTTCAAATCCTCACAAAAGAAATCTTCAAGGCTGCGGGCTGGATAGGAAACCTACCTTAATGGGCCTCATCCGCCCATGGGCTACCAGTTTGCGACCTCTGTCTTAGACAAATAAATATATTCATTGAATTTATGCTTGTTAAAATGTATAGCATATATTTTTCAAAATTAATTAATATTCTGTGATTTCTATTTGTTTTTGACTGAAACAATTAATAACATAATGAACAAAATTGGTTCAGATTAGCAAGAATGCATTGTTTTTATGGACTTGGGATAAATTTGATTTAGTGTAGTTTTTTCAGAAGATGAATCTTAATTAAATACTGTAAAGATAAAAAATTTTCATTTTAACATAAATAATTNATGAATATTATTATTAATAATCAAATATTTTTCAGAAATAAGGTGAAGTAGTTATCTAATATACTACACAGTTTATTTTAAATATATTTAATTTTTTTCCTGACTTAATCTTACAAACATAGAAAATTTGATAACATTTCTGGATTTTATTTAGGATAAATTTTCATATAAATTTGAAAAATTACCTACTGTAGAGTATAAATACATAAATTATTTCTAAACTATTTATAAATTTTATTTTTCAGAAAGATGATGAAATTGCTAAATTGGAAATAGACTGTGAAATTCAAAGAAAACTGACAAAGGCTGTTTTTAGATTAACAAATGATAGTAAAGCCTCCAAAACTATCAGACGTCAAAGGAAACTGTCATATCAACAGTCTCAAGCAAAAGTAATTACAACTAATAAATTATAATTTAACATATGTTTATTTTTAATGAAATATTATTATAATAATATATGTCATTCATGAAATGGTAAATATTATAAAAGTAACTTTTCTTTTTTAGTTAAAGCAAATAGAAAATCAGCTGTCAGTTATGAAAAAACAAAATGAAGTTAAAGAACAAGAAGTCTCTTCAAATGAAGGTTGTAAAAGAATCATATTTTATTTAGGATAAACTGAATACAAATTTTAAGCAAAGAAAATAATTGATAAATCAAAAAATAGATATTAAAATGATAAAGGCTACTTTCAATTTATACCAAACAAATTATTATGCACATTTTTTTGATTGATTGATTATTATTTTTTGATAAACTGTTACTTAAAAATGTTTTAAATAAATTCATTATTAATTTCAATGTAAGAAGCACAAACTACTTTGGTTTAACAATATAATAGAAAGAAAATTATCCCATAGAAAGTTAAGATGAACTCTCCATGACTTCAAAAGCTTATACGAACTGTAAATATATATCTGTTATGCTTCTTTAGTTGTTACTGTTATACAAAAATATTTAACTGACGAGTAGAAAAGACCATAGGAACCCAAAACAGATATTGTTATAAAAGCTTACAAACTGAAACATTATTGTAAGTAAAGATGGTATATTGCAAGTGAATTGCTGATTAATAATGGAGACTTTGTTACTTGCTTTTTAAAGAATTTTATAATTCAACACTATATTAGAATTATTCTGATTCGCTTGTTATTTATGTAGGATCTGGAGAAACAATAATAAACTTATGTCTACAAAATTCTCAGACTGTATAGATAAGCTATATTGCTTAGTAAACTACTTTGTCTTAGATTACAATTTCATTGTAATCTAAGACAAAGTAAATTGTACAATTAAATTTATTGTACTCATTGTACTCAATTTCATTGAGTACAATGAGTACAATGAAATTGTAAAGCAATTTACTTTTTTCAAATGTATTTAATTTATTAATAGTGTGTGAATTTTATCCATATCATAATTATTCTTTTAAATTTTATATATCATTTTGAAAATTTCAAAATCAAATATATCACAAAGGACATCATTTGTAAGTATTTTTATAACATAATAAGAGTAATTTTGATTAATTTGTGGTAAATGATATAAAAGTTTGAGGTACATATATATATTAATAGAATTTTTGACTTGGTGGAAGTTGAGTGAAAAATAAAAAGTGATTTTCTTTAAATTTTTTACTTTCCTCTTGAAGTTGCATGTTCTAGTTATTTTCATTTTATTATCTAGATTGGAAGGAGTTCAAATAAATATTTAAAAGCAAAACATTCTCCAAAAACAATGTTTAGAGTTGAAAAGTTTTAATACTTCCAATCATTCTCTTATTGATATTTTCTATGTTGAGGCTCAAGAAATGTCTGATAATGATTCTCTTTGAATGAATTTTTGTAATTCATTACAACTTCTTGATAAAATATATTTCTTTTATTAATTTCAACATTAAGTTCACCTTACCTTCTTGCAAGTGCACATCCTCACCTATCCAAAAATCTACTAAATGTTTTCACTTTATATCAAGGTTGGAGGAGGTGTTCAAATGAATATTTGAAAATAAAAAATTCTCCATAAACATAATGTTAAAGAAAATCATTTTTTATCCAATTTCCACAGAGTGAAAAATTCAATTATTTTAGTATTATATGCACCTCAAAGAGTTCTATCATTTACACAATTTTATAATTATAAAGGATGTCATTTTGTAAGGATTTTTATAAGGTTTTTGATTATGTATAGTAAATGCATATTTTTAGATTATGAAATATGATTAAACATTTAAAGAAATTTATTAGTAAACCATTTAAAATTTTCATTAATATATATTATAATTTTGATATATGATTATTACAAACATCAATGCAAATTAAGATGAAATTATGTATGTTAAAAGTAGAAAGTGTTTTTCAATTAATAGTTTTTCTTATGATGAATAATATTTGATAATAGATATATTTCTATTTATTTTTTTTACAGAACAAAACAAAACATTCCTCAACCAAATTATAAATGAGGATGGTAAGTACTGTAATTTAAATTGAATATTTTTTGTTTCTTAAATGTTACATTCAATTACATTTACAAATTATTCTTTATATTATTCATTTAAAAAATATCTAAAAGATATTTACAAATTTACTGTCAGAAAATATATTTAGAAGCTTTGACCAATTGAATAAATTTTATGCCTTTGTCATTCAAACTGATTCTGTTTTTGATAACACATTTACAGTATATGTCTATTAACATTAGAACATACATGTATAAAGTTTTGGTTTACCATTCTTAAATACTTTTAAATATTAGCAACAACAAAACAGATAGTGTTAAAAGGATGACAGATAGACTCGAAAATTTTATAATTTTTGTAAATAGTCATAGTTCAATTTCTAAGATATTTCTTAGTTATTTTATCTTCATTCATGTAATAATGATGAATTTATTACATTTTTTTTATTTAGAAAGAATAAATGGTGAATTGAGTTTTTTGCATTAATTTAGCAGCTTAATATACTTATACAACATTTAAGAGAAGGTTACACACAAAAATATCTCTCTCAGCATTGAAAATAAATATGAATGTAATCACTTAGCTTGTACATATTTTTGGATTGTCTTCTTTGTTGTTAAAGGTTCTAAATGTCCAGGATTAAAATATGTACATTACTTCTCAATATAAATGACCTGAATTTAGTAATTATATATGTCACAAATATATATATATATATATATATAAATCATAGGAAACTTATTAATTTTATTTGCTAAAAGTAAAAAGAAACAATAGAAAANTACTAACCAATCTCGATGAAACAATAGAAAATATTTAGGAAATGAACTTGTTGGGTGTGTTTTATTAGATATTTTTTAAATGTAACATAATAATGTAGCAATGTATATTGATATAATAAACTGTTAAATGTAAATTAAAATTAATGTTTTTTAGATCCTGTATTTAAAGAGCATGGAGTGAATCTTTCTAATATTTATGTTGATACATCTGGAATGAAGGAATCTTGTTCTTTAGATAATCAAGTAAGTCTTACAATTTAATAATAGTTTAAATGTGAATTTTTAGGAGTAAGTCTAAAAACAAATTTTAAATTATAAATACTAAATTTCGATATTACTGAAATTCTGCACAGATTTGAGCATGCTCTTGGGGCAAAATTGCCACTATATTCCACAAAATACTGTATCTAACAAAATTCACAATTATATTTTTTTAAAAATTTATAGTATCAGTAGCATCTTTTTTATTTTGGCTTTGTATTTTTAATAAGGGTTATGACAGAAATGCTACTAAGTAATTACTGTATCAGTACATTTATATTATACTGATACAGTAACTACTTAGTAGCATCAGTGCAGTACTCTTAAAAGCCAAAACAAGCTGGCACACGAGAGCATGCTCTTATTTTGCATGGAAATGTTGTGCGTTAAAATTTTCATATAGTGAATTTTCTATTTAATATCAAATAAAATGCATATACTAAAATTTCTTTTAAGTTTTATTACATGGAAATTATTTAAATTTTTGTCAGAAAAATAGGATTGCTTTCATTCAAAAAGTTATATTTATTACTCTAACTCTTAGATTTAAACATTTCACCAGAAATACTGCAGTAAATAATAATAATAATAGTTAGTTGTGACAAAATGCAGCAATCCTCACTTAGTATCAATAGATTGTTGAAAACTGTGGTATTAAGCAAAATGATATAAACAAGATTTAAGTGTCCTATTGGGTGTTGTTTGCAACCTCCAGTATTTAATTCCCAATCAATTTTATTGTTTACAAAAACATTCAACAACAATAACTGTAAATGATTACAGATATAAATATATCTTTTCTAAATTAATTAAGCGAGGACTTGCTGTTCATCTATTATTTAAATTAAGCCCTGTTTACACAGTGATGGTATGTTCTTGTGATAATTAATAGTTGAGAGAAAACTGAGCTAGGTAGTTGAGAGTATTCTCACAAGAGTGCTCATGTTCCTGAATGACAATGGCTATGAAAAACCACTTCTGCCAAACTATTTGCATTGCTTTCTGCATATGTGTAAACACCTTGCTATCAAATATTCTCTTGTTAGAGTATTTAACACAAGGACTATTGTGTCAGCACATTATTTTTATTCAGCTCAGGGCTTGCGCTTACATTTGACATGTCAATTGACAGTTTTCTACCCAGTTTGACTCAATATTTTTAACACTGCAAATCAATTTTGACTTACAAAAAATTTTCAGTAAAACTGATTTTTACAGGTAGTTTATCTGAATACACCATTTTCAATACATCATTGTTCTAATTATTCATGTGAAAATTTCAGAAGGCAAGTTGACAAACATTGCTGTAATGTCAATTGCAGGAATGATTTGTGAATGAAAATAAGTGCAGTATTATGACTGATGTGTTTACATAATAGTAATTTATCGTAAGAAATGTTACTAGTAACAGCTTCTTAGGACGTCAAAAAATAATTGGAGTTACATATTCTAGATATGAGCTGACCAGATAAAAATCCAACAATGTGTTGCTTAACTTTCCTGGCAACATTTAAAATTTTGGTGGCATCATCTGTTATGATATTTTATTTTAAAAACTTTTTATATTTTTAATTATTATAAAATGACCAAAAGCTTAATTTTGAGGGTAGGGATGGGTTTTATAAAAAATTGTAAATGCTAATAACAAGTAAAATCGTCATTATGTCCTTCTCAAGATACGACACACAACCTTCCTTTATCTCCCCCACCCCAACGACCTTTAACCACCAAAATTTAATAGCGTCAATCCCCCTAATAAACAAACCTCTCTGTAAAATTTCAGAAATTTTTGACAAAAGCACAAGAAGTTATTAAGTTTCAAACACTGTGAACAAAACTATAATCCACACACACGAAAAAATTTTGCTTTTTTTTCCCTTTCTTGACATTTCAAGGTCCAAAAATATAAAAAACTTGGGGCGTGTCATTTTTTGACCAATTTCCATACTTTTCCTCTGTTATATATAACAGAGCCGGGAAAGTAAAAATAATGAACACAAAATGAAGATCAAGATAATTTATAGCACATTAATACTTTTTACCTTTTTTTTTTTTCTTTAATTTAGAATCCTTTAACATCTGCATCATTTTTGTCATCCTACGTTACACCCGGATCAAATTCTGCTCCTCCTAGTCCAACTAAATACAGACACCATACGACCAGGTCTTCAAGCTCTCGTCCTTCTACTCCTTCTTCGACAAATAGTGGCAGAGTGTGGAATCAAGCTTTAAATGGCCAAGGATATACTCCAAATTCTGTCTATCAGACCTCTTATCGCAATCAACAATACCCTATATTATCTAGTTACTCCACAGGTTCGGATTCAAACAGCGGTAGTGCATTATCATTAAAATCGCCTTACCAAAATAGGTATTTTATTTTATTTCTTGTTCATAAAATGTACATTATTCATGAAATTAAATATATCTCAATTGTTTAGGTTTGAATCGACTTTAAATATCGAGGGTTCTAATTTGTACAGTGTTCCGACTCAAAGAACTAGTCAAGCATTTGATAGTCAAGATGATATTTTAGCCAATTTTCCCAGCAAAACGGAAGAACCTAATTTTGGTTTGATTTCTAGACACAATAGCCTGGACAGTAGCCGTCGTCACAGTTATAAACATCTTCATCAGCTAAACGATTCATCGGATGATAAAAGTCAAACTAAATCAAGCTATGAAAAACACATGAGTTATACAATGGGTGAAAATTTAGGAAAATGTAATCATCATCAGACGTCGCATCAGCATTATCATTCTTCTCTACACTGTGTTCATCATCACTATTATCATCATCACCACCACCACATTAATCATCTTCCTTTGTCAGCAGAGAAAAATTTGTATAGCCTTAATAAAATAGAACAAACTTCCATACCTCAAACCAGTACCAAAAATATGTATCTGTCAACGTCTCACCATCAGTACAATCATATGTGCCACACTGGATTAATGACTCAACATGCAACTATTAATGCAATGGTAGAATCTTATGTGCCAAATATTCCCAAAGCTAGTAAAGCCAGTAATGTAGCAACGTCTCCAAGAAATAAGGTAAAAACATGGACAGAAACTTCGTTAGATTCTCCAATTCCTTCTCACAAACCCGAAACGTCTGCGTTTGGATTCAAAAACCACCAACTAAATCCCGAAACATCTGTATTTTTACAGTTACCTGCAGAAAGCAATTTACAAGAAAAAATGTGGACTGGAAACAATTTTGATAAAAAGTTTAATTTACATTCTTCATTTGGTCAAAGGCAAACAAATATCATTTCTCCTGGTCATTTTCAACCTTATTGGGAAGAGACGAAACCTTACGAAATATCGGATTTTTATAAATATAGTGTCAAACACAGAAAGAGTCTTCAACAGAATCAAGAAAAAGCAGATGATTCCTCACCACAGGATAAAAAACATAATGCAAGTGTAAATGTTGAAAATGCAACAGGGTGTGTTTCTCTGTACAGGTAAATAATTCAATATAATACATTATTATATAAATAGAAAAATTATGATTAATTTATTTTAGGTTTTTTGAAAAATTAATCCAAATTGACAAGCATAAATTAGTAGAAGTATTTAAATTTAAAATAAGAGTAACAGTAAGAACAAAGCAATTTATACAAAGGTCTAAACTGTAGAGGTGAAGGCCTAAGATAAACAAAGGGCTTTATACAAGTTTGAATGTAATTTGCTTTTATAATCGATTGCTTATAATCTTTATATTTTCCTGTATTTAACAATAACATGAAAGGAGCAACTTTAGTAGGCAAGATTAAAGAAGAAAAAAGCCCATGATGTCATGATGAGAAATTATCAAATATCTGCTGTCTGACCACAGATCCTACAAATTAATTATTAATAAATATAGATTCTAAAATGTAAATTAGTAATATGATAACTATCGAGTTCCAAATTTGTTTACTGATATAAACTAACTCAAGTTCTGAAGTACAGTTAACAAACTTAATCTGTTCCATGACTCTGTTCATTAACCGAAGCAATTTTTTCCATAGAAATTAATGCAAATACAATTTATCCATTCTAGACTTTGTAATTTTATTTGTAAAATGGGTTTCCTTTGATGAAAATATAGGAAAACATAGTATCTATCATTACAGCAAAAAATATGTAAACTTTATTTAATAAAATAGCACTGTACATATCTTCATTTGTTGTAGTTGGTAGCAGAGGAGTGGAGATGTACAGAGTTTAATGCTTGGAAGGGGAATCTCCCTCCATAAAAATATCGGGTAGCATTGCATTGGGAGATTCTCCAAGTTGAGGTCGCTTTTGATAAGGAAGAAGAAAGTGGTATGAGTAAAGTTGATTATTGTACTCTTTTAATCAAAATTTTTCTAAAATGTGATAGTGGCAATAGAAAATGACAATGCAATATCACTTTTCTCTTTCTTGGGTGCCATATTGATTGACTATATAAATCACAAAACTAAAAAAAAAAGTTTAGCACAAACTCAGAAAAGCAATGTTTACCTTGTGCACACCTACAACAACTGAAATTTGACACAAAAAACATTACGTTCGTTATTTGAATTTTGTCTCAGATGTCTGATCAATCCAGGAAGGCACTCCCCTTAGGTGATGGACTAGTTTACTGACCATTGTCCAGGAGGTAAAGTGCATCACATGACTGATCAGCATAATTTAACCCCTCTACCCTTAAGATATGCCAACCAGATGCCAGCTGACTTGTGCTATACCTCATCCTGCAAATGATTAGTAAAGTAGTCCAGCACCTAAGGGGAGAGCTTTCCTGAGTTGATCAGAGAAGACTGGACTTGCTTTCTCATCCATGTGCCATGACGTCTAGGGCTCTTTCATCTGTGGTTGGACAATATTTATATTTTTTCTCCCCCTATTCTTAAAATTATTGGGCCTAATTATACAGGTATACCTTGCCTTACGTCGGTAATTTGTTCCAGGAGAGGCGACATAAGTCAAATTTACTTGTCACTAGGCTAAACCATAAATTACCAATTATATAAATTACCCGTTCTGTATTTTATTTATTAATGCATTTTTAATAATATATGGTTAATAAATTTTAGTTTTTAATATAGTACAGAAAAAGTAATCTAAATTTACGAATACATGTACAGTAGACCCCCCCTATAACGCTTAGATGCGTTCCACGCTAATCGAATTTTATGTTGTAGGAATGATTAAATACATGAGCCAATCGCAGCCCGATAGGTGTGAACTTTACGGACTAAGGCTGTTTGAAAGGTTTTCTTCTATAAAATTAACCGATTCTAGACTAATTCCACTCAACATTTCCAAAACACGTATAATTTTTTGGGAATAATCTGTATAAACTACGCTATAAATAAAAAATTATAGGATTACTTACCGAGTGTGTACCGTTCGACTACGCCGTTGCTTAAAGCTGGTTTTCATCACAGAACAGCACATTAAACGGCGGCCGCAATTTCTAATAACGAATTTTTCACATAAAAATAACTTGACCTTTGGAGACATCATTAGTATAAATAATTTTTATGGACGTGGAATAAGAAGTGTTTCTTTCACAAGAAATGTATGAAATTAGTGCTGTATTAGACTTACGGTACCTAATTTACATACTGTATAGACGATAATAAACTCAACTTACTAGCCTAAAATCTCCGTAGTGTGTTGCCAGGCGGCAGAAAGCATATATATAATTATAATAAAGTTACAATAAATTAAGTTAATATATAATTATATGTACAGTACCTAATTTATATATAATTTATATATAATACTAAACAGACAATAGCAAACTCAATTTAGCCGCTCCGTAGCGTGGCGCAGGGTCGGAGGAAAGTAGTTCGGCTGCTCATCCACTATTGGTCCAGACTCTATCAATCTTGTCGCGAAACGACGTTATAGGAGGTACTTTATACGAAAGTTTCTACAATTTTTTCGCTACGTTATAGGAATTGTCGTTATAGGGGGTCAATTGTACTGTAAATACAATACATACTTGTAAATGTATATATTTTAATATGATTTTATGTGCTTTAAATGCTTTTCTAGTGATATTACGACTTCAATATTTTGGCAGACAGATGTAAAGTCAAATAAAATGACTTAAACTTGTTTGTCAAAAAAGTATATGGAAAAATAAAAATTGACGTATAATTGGGAACGACGTAACTTGAAACGATGTTAAGTCAAGGTATACCTCTATTGTTGAAATAGACTTGCAAATTATTTTATAGAATTCTATTACAAGTAACTTTTGGTATTCATAAGGGTTAGGTTCCTGGGAAATCAAGCGAATATCAAATAGGTAGGCCTATGACAAAATCGAGTACAGGTTGAACCAAACCATATTACTGTCTCGGGAATATTTAAACTTTTGCAGATGATACAATAAGCAAATAAGAACAACTAATGTTTATTTTGTTTGTATGTTTAATTACATCAAAAGTCTTACATTTTAAGATGATTGCAGAGGAGTTACAACAGTTTGGAAAAACCAAGTTAATGTTGCTCAATGGGCTTTTTTTTTTATTTGTGTCCTTCAAGACTGGCATATGGGAGCCAGGCTAATTCCAAAGCAGGCTTAAACTTGATATTAGATTTGGGAATAGGATCACATTCTTTTAACTCACACAAGCTGTATATAGTGCTGTATATTTGAAAGCTTATAAGCTATCATGTCCAGTTCCAGATTTGTGGGTTCTACAGCTGTATGGTACAGTGCATTCTAAACATTGTTTACACTCCTCAAATCCCTCACCAATTATATACTTTGCCAAATTTTATATTATTGTATGTATTTACTGTACCTACTCTTATTTACATAATTGTGACTTCAGTTCAGTACAACAGTTACTGTACTCTGCTTGGTTATGTCAAAAAATGTAGAAATTGGAGATAACTGAAAGGACATTTTTACCAGTTTGTACTCTAATGGAAATACTGTAAAAAACAATTTTCAAATATGCAATGTTTTGTGAGTTGTTTGGTGGTTGTGAATAGGCAAAAGTACAAATACCAAGAGTTATTTGTATTTGGTTTCCACAAAATATTATCACTTAAAAGAAGTGAATCACAGAAAGGAGTGCAATTTTTAGGTGTTGAACACAAAAATAACAACAAACTTTAGTTACCGTTTCCAACATAAATCATTAATGTAAATGTAATACAAAACGTAACTTACCCCATTCTTCGTAGCGGCTCGTTGTCCTACTTGATTTCTGGAGCATTTCCAAATAGTCACTTCATACATTGGGTATGCAGTCTTCCGATTTTTCTATTTTTCTTTTTAATATTCAATGATAAAGTGAACATTGCCAAGGACAAGACTTTTTGTCAAATTGGTCTGACATAAAATTCATTTGTAAAATAATTAATGGAAATTGAAAAAATTTTCTGTCTGTCTTTGGTTCCTAGATATTTTTGGATATAAATTCCAAAGGAATTTTTCGTCTGCATCATACTTTCAATTTTTTAATATGACATATATAAAAATATTTGCTAAAGCCTCTAATTAAAGGTCAACTCCAAGTAAAGACTGGGTGTTCCCAAAGTGTTTAAAAAGGACAAAATGTGAAGACATTTATTGTTTATTCTAATTTAGTGAATATTTTTTTTACATTATTGTCATCTTGGCCATTTTATGAAATATCTTTTAATATGAGTTGATATTTTTGTGATTGATCTTCAAGAAATCCTAAAAGAAACACTGTTGGACAGCCAAATGTTTCTAGGTAAAATTTCATGTAAACCATGAACATATTCACATTAAGAGTACCCATTCAACATAAAAAGATTAAAACTTAACAATTTGAAATATCAAATTCACATTCAGCACACAAGAAGAAAAGTAGGAATTTATTAATATTTTCTCACGTATAATTTCGCCGTTATAGGTTTGGTTTGATTTATTTGTATACTACATGGGCCATCTGCTGAGGGGATAAGTCTTGTGGGAAACGCCCCTATTTACGTTCTAATTAGTAAACGTGAAGAAACTCCAGTAAACTCCACATGGACAGTTGCAAACCAATCACCAACTACCAGTGTTTGATGTTTCATCCACTCAGCCACTGGTGGGTCCTAATTCTAAGTGTACCCCCCGTAATCCTCTGTTAATTTTCAATAAGATAATAATACGACTGTCCATTTTGTTCAATTTACTCATGGAAATTTTTTATTCTATTAAAAATTTCAGAGAGAACCCTCCAGAAGATGGCTACTTTGAGGAAAAACTGGAAACTTCGATCGCCGACGGTTTCCACGAAGAAATGATCGCGTGGTATCAAGATCAAGAGAACATAAACAAGGCCACGCTGGTGTGAAAATACTTTAATCATGTTTTGTAAATAACACTTTAAAACTTGTTTAAAAAGAAATTTTAGAGAATCTACACAATATTGCATTTGATATATGGTTAATAATTGTTGAAAAATACTTTTAAAATGAAACCTTTTAATTCCGGTAGCTGGTTTACCAGAAGAAAAAAGGGGTAACAGATATATTTTAATAGTAGTTTCTCTTGTAAAACGATAGATAACTTTGTGCAAATATTAATTTTAAAATAAAATGCAAAATTCATCTGTACACAGTATTAACAGAATTAATTATTATTATTATTTTCTTCCGATAAATTTATATTTATTATGTTAATTTAAAAATGAAATATTTATTGACACGAGCGCATTCGTTCTTGTAAATATTAACAGGTTAATTGTTAAAAAGGTTGAACGTTTTTCACTCCGACCTCTTTATTATGAATTGTGCTAAATTATGATTCGAGAGGCAATAGTTGGCTGATTGTTATTCATTTTGTGAGGCGGTATGCAATATTGTTGTGATTTCTGTTTTAATCTACTGTTATGTATTTATAAGTTAAATTTGCACCAAAATAAATTATGTATTTTATTATGCGTCGTTTCTTTGTTTAAACTGAACGACTGTTTGATGTGTGAATTTAATTTGGAATTTTCGGATTCCTGCTGAAATTGCATGACTTAAGGCCGACTGTAACCTGTTTGGTTATGCACACGATCTCCAGCAGATGGCATTAACATGCTTTTTTTGTATAGAAAATCCTTTGCCAGAAATTCTCGAAAACAGAAGTAGATAGAACTATTAGAATTCCATTAATGTTAAGGTTTACAGATACTTGGGGATAAAATCAGAGACAAAATTAGTTCTTTTCAAAAGATTCTGGATGTTTCAATTTCAGGAAATGCAATAAGATGTGTATTTTTACTCTGCAAGTGACAGAAATACATTTAAACTAGATAGATGACATCGATAAACATTGTCTCGAGTGCCTCAATGTACTTAGCCTGGATAAGTAGTTTGAGCAGTAATGTCACAAATGAAAGATAGTCATCTTTTTTTTTATGAACAATAAATCACTTATAAAGTACAGATAATAAAGAAATTAAATTAAACTAAAAAATAAATAAAATAATAATAAAATCAGTTCTCATTTAAATGGTACAGACCTGGACATGCAATTACAGCAGAGGAGACCAAAGAGCTAGGTGATGTGGCGCCATCTAGTGGGGATGAGGGACGTAAATCTGGTACAGTTTTTCTTTGACCTGGTATAACATTTCTGTAGTTCAGCTGAAATTCACCAAACTCTGCACTTTATATAAAAAACAGCACCCAAAAATGTCAAAATACATTTTTGTTAGTAAGCATCAAAGAGATGTAAGTTGACACTTTCATTTTATGAATATATCTTTTCTCAGAGTTAATTAAGCACATGCCATAACATTTTGACACCAAAATCATCAAACAGAATTTTTTAAAAATCGAACAGGAAAGTGCAAATGTTACCCCAGAAGCCTGGGCTTCGTCCAGGCAAATATGGAAAAAGGAACTTTATCATAGGAACAGTTTTTAGAATAAAGTCTATATGGAAGTCGAAAAAATCCTGGAAAACATCAATTAATAGTTTTTCCAAATTTAACTGTTAAAACAGAAAACAGCCAAAATGATTACAACAAATAAGTTAAATGACTTACATCCAAATGATAGCAAAAAATATTGTACAGTACTTCATTTTACATTGACATTTAATTTTGACCTTTAACTCCCAAAATTTGTTGGAAAATGTACATAATACACATATTAAGGGGACAGCAACAGCAATTATGCCCTAGCGGCTGAATTTTGAAGTAAAGTTTTTCCGAAAATCAAATATTTTGGACAGTATGATTACCAAATTTGATTGAGATTTGCCCAATAGTTTTTTCTACAGAGAGCTGTGAACATCTAATCTTTAATTGTAGGCACATAGCATATGCAGGATGATCATGTTTTTCTTATTCATGCCAAAAAAACAGTAACAATGAAACGATGATACAATATTCTAGAGCATAAATTTGGTAATTACCTGAAGTTTATTGTTCTATATCTGTACAATTTCATTAATTCAGGAAACCTAACTAAGAATACAAATGATTAATATCATTCCAGTTATCATGGATCTACATAACCGTAATGATATCGTTCCCTGTATGCCTTTTCCATGTCGAGAGACTTGCGTCTTATTCTCCGACCGATTGGTTCTAAGTCATTGTAACATTTGGTAAAAACTCTTTCTACCGCTTTGCTGGCTTCCTCGTACGTTACGTCACGTACTGCCAGAACGGAATAGATTGCTCGTTTTTTCACACAATCCTGTACAAGAAAAGAAAATACATAAATAAATACACTGTTATTTTATTATTATGCATAAAATTTTGTTGTAATTTGATAAAAACACTTTCAGATCGGTAAATTTGAAACCAAAAACTGTTCATATTTTGCAAACTGCCTGTGACAAATTGTGAAGACATTTATGCTAACTTAGCATTTATTTGCATTAACGCATATATCAAAATTAGAATGTATTAAATTTACCAAATTTTTCCTTTACACTTCTTAATCACAAAACCAAAAATCAGTTTTTTGGTTTCGTGTTCCGACGTTCATGTTTTGGGCTGAAAACATCGGCCGCAACCTCTCTAATGTTATTTGTTTCTTATGACACAATCAATATCATTGGTTTGCTTACTTAGTTGCTTGATAAAGAAACATGCCTATTGTTTAAAAAAAAAAAAATATGGGAAAAATGTAATTTCTTTTGAATGAGAAAACAATGTTCATTGGTTTGCTTACTTAGTTGCTTGATAAAGAAACATGCCTATTGTTTAAAAAAAAAAAAAATAGAAGGAAATTTTCATCGTTTGAATCCAAAAACAGCCCATATACTCAATCCCATTATAGGTTCACAAAGGGGTTGTCGGGTGGTTAATGGGCAAGACCTGACATATCCAGTATCATATTAGACTGGTTCTAGAAGATTTCCATACTATGGGAGGACATTTTCCTAAATAAACCGTAGGTTTGGCTAGAGTCCATTTGCATAAAATACTTGTAGTTTTACAAGCTTTACAAGTAATTATAAGAAAAATGTGTTGAATAAAATGTTTTCTAACAAGTTACTACTCGTAACCAATTGCGGTTGTATAAAGTTACTTGTTTGTTAAGTTACGGCAACGTAACAATTGGGCGATCTGACTAGAGGGTACGCCTTCCGGGAGGTCTTTTTGAGGGTAACTGGCCCCTATTCAGGCGTTACAGACGTGGAGAAAACCCGGAAAATTCCACGTCCGGACGAGGCGCAAACCCACGACCGAACTCCCAGTGTTCAGGGAACGGAACCGCTTGGCCACTGGTGGGCCCACGAAGTTACCTACAATCAGTATTAAATATGCTACAATTTTAATAAAAAATAAAAATTCGTCGCAGTAAATCTATTGTAACAAGTAAAATGTAGCACTTGTATACAAGAGAAATTTGTTTTATAAGCTTTTTATTATATATACAATATCAAATATACAAGAATTTGTTACAGTTACAGCGTTGCACTTTTAGTTTTTATAAAAATTTTCACCATCAATTTTTTACTCATAAAGTGATTATAAGTTTTGTTCTTATCGAATTCTCATATTTTAATTTTTAATTTGGTAGTAACTTATAATGGTTGACGATGATAAAGGTAATTTCTTTGACATACGATTACTGGAAAGAAGACGAAAGGTGAAAACAATTCTGAATGTGAATCATAAAAAGAATAAATTTTATTTAATTATAAAGAAATTAATATAATAAGTAATAAAAATGTAGAAAGTTTCTATATTTTAATCTTTATTATACTACATTTGGTCTTAATCTGGTTATACATAAAGTCCTAGTTTCGCCAATTGTGGTTTTATCAATTGAAGAAATATTTTTAATTGATTAATAAAGGAACCTGTATAGCAGAAATGGGCAAGCTTTTTCTAGATAAGAGTGACACAGAAGAGGGAAAAAACAAAATACAGGTAAATCACAATTATTTTTTCATGTATGACAATAAATTAACATAGGCATACTTAATTCTGACTTCTGGAACTGATGCGAACGTTACAGAACTGTAAATTCTTCGGAAAGGAGCAATTTTCTATGTTAAAAAATAACACAATTTATTAAAAACTGGTGTTGTGTTGTATATTCTACATTTCACGTTACATACATTCATACATACAAGAAAGACATTGACTGCACACGGTGTTTAGCCGGCAGAAAAGAGGGTAAGGGAAAGGGGAGAAGATAGACAATAGAGTAAGGTAGGATCCCTCTGAACGGAGTACGTATGGCTATAGTACTCTCTATGTTGATGTTGACGTGCACTTTTTGGGCTTCAAGGCCGTAGTCTCCCGAAGGGTCTAAAAGAAAATCTGAGTGTAGCCAATCAGTGGCGTGCCGTCATTAGAAGCGGTGGATGCGCCGCTTTCCTTGTATTTTCTAAAACATAAATACATATTAATTTTAATTATATGAAAATAATCGCACAATATTTTATTATAATCGCATTATNTAATCAACGCTCTACTGTATTTTAATAAATTTATGTATCATAAATTCAATAAATAAGATAAAAATAACAATTAAAATTGTATATACATTATGTTTTATAATTTCAGGCCTCGGAACAGAAAATGACTTCAAAATAAATGAGAATAGCAACTCCCAGTAAGGAAAAAGTGACTAAACAGCGACCAAAATAAAATTAGTTAGCCATGTTAACATATTTTATTTGTAAGATGTTGAGTCCAAATGTTATTATTTAGTTTGAGAACGTTTTCTTTTGTTTTAAGGACAATAACTTATTTTCATTATTAAGTAATTATAATTATAAATAAAGCAATCATAATTTGTAATTATGACCAGAAAATAGCACAAGTTGTGCTTCTGGCTATTGGTGCTGTTTGACACAGTGGCATAATTTAGAACTAATGTGTGCAAAGGGTCTAGATGTTTGTGTTCACTGCTCATGTGTTTGCATAACAAATTCGTTTCTCGCTTCTACATAAATGGTGTTGTGATTGTGAATTCTAGTCTGAAAAGTTCATTTTTGTTTTTTTCCCCCTCTTCTTGCATTTGCATAAATGCAGCCTTACAGTGAAGACTCTAATAGACTCCAGTCTCTGGCAAAACCAAAACTGGAACTTGAATTTCTGGTTTCATTTTTGAGTGTGTGGTATCTGAGTTGATTGATCAAAATTAGTGAAAGGGATTGTTAATTATCTTTTGCTTTATCTGTATATTTTGATCTGTTCTTTGATCAGTTTCTTTATTTTTGTAGAATATAACACTAGGCTAATAAGCACTGGGTTGGTCAGCCGGTTCAATAATTAAATGCAGGAGGCGTCTATTAAGTTAGAAGATACAGCAAGTTTCTCTTTAAAAAATTGAGAGAAAAATTGCCTGTATATTTATCATTTTTTCTAATGAGTTATCTTCTTAAATTTTGCAAATTGAAATTTTTAATTTGTTAAAATTATTAATTAGAAGAAAGTTTTTGGAGTTGTAGAATTATTAAAACTTATAATGAGACATTTCATTAAACAAAAAATCCAGAAAGAAAATGCATAACTTTTGCGGTGAACACAACAATGTAACAGAGGAAATTTAAAATTACTTTGCAGCACCATCCATTATAAAATTTTGTTTAAAAAACAATCTTTGTATTATTAATAATTAAAAAACTGCAATAGTTTAATTTTGAGGGTAGAGAAGAGTTTTATATAAAATTATAAATGCTAATAACAAGTAAAATCTTCATGAAGTCTAATTCCACTTGAGTTATGACACATGATCCCTATCTATCTTCCCACTCCTTGATTCTATAACCACCAAAATTTAAAAGCATCAATGCCCTTTATACACATGCTACCATGGTAAATTTTATTTCTTAATCATTACCCCATTCTGGGATAATACAAAATGGATGCCAACACATACAGAATTTTTTTTTTTTGCCACTTTTGGATTCAGGAGATCTCAAATTGCAGAGATTTGCAAAAAACTCAGAGGGTCAAATCTGACATTATTCCAATATTTTCCCATGTTATATATATGTTACTGTGAAAGACCGAAATTAGAGAATGTTGACACATACAAAATACCTCAGTGAAAGACCAAATATTTGGTTATATTATTATACATTCGAACAATCGCCGGTGTATGTTGAGAAGCACAGATAAGCTTTGGTGGAGGTCGAAACGACACCTGAGAAGCCAATGTCGACAGAGAGGCGACAGTCTGTCGCCAAATCCTTTGTGGGTCGCCGGAGGTAGGACAAGGTCGTACCTCTTTTCCCGGCAATGGTTTGGTGGAAAGCGTCCACTTTGTCACTGGATGGCGTTTTTGTTCATTTGAATGGTTTGTCAGGTCTAGTGGCGGAGGGTGGTCAGTAAGGCGTCGGTGATGTCCGAATAAAAGACACCATTAACAGATTCGTAATCACGTCATCAATTCGTAATCACATAATCAGTTCGTAATTTGTAAAGAAAAGTTACTTTCCATAGATGTGATCTCTTCTCAAAAAATATCGCTGAGAGAAGCAGCTGCAGCTAATTCGAAAAGTGGAGGGCAAGGCTATACATGCTGTCATTGCAAAAAAAAAAAAAAGTGTTCGACGAATAAATGAAGTTGTAAAAGCAAGGGACTCTCGTGCAATTCAAAGTGCCATAATAGTTTAAGTTGTTGCAATAAATAAGATTGTATAACGTTAATCACATAATATATGTGTAAGTTTACTATTGCGTATTATTTTTCTTTTCTGATAAAGAATGTACTGCTTGTTTTAGGTTAAACAGTTTATTTACATGTGCTGTTACTTAAGCTTTCTCCTATTTTGACATATTAAAATGTTGCATTTTTGTCTTAACGTAATAAAAATATTTTTATTTAACATTCATCATCAGTGCATGCTGAATGTCGACATTTGTCGGTATAAGTGAGAAATAATGATATTTAGCAAGTATTTCGTACATACACGAAACGACTGTGTGAATGCTGACATTCACCAGAGAATGTTGACATTCGCCAGATATCGGTCATTCACAGTAACATATATATATTAATATAACATGGGAAAGCTGGGAAAAACACTGTTTTTATTTATTATTCATCAATAAATCCTGTAATCTGTTATAAAGTTATAAATTTATCAAATTGTTTCTTAATAAAGTTTCCAAATTTTATAAATTATTAACTTGAAAAAAAGATAAATAAGTGTCCTTTTAAATTATGTTGATCTATTTTTGCACCTGGTTTTCATTATTAAACTGGTTTATTAACATCTCATCTGTCTTCAAATTAAAGATGTAAAGATTAATTGTGAATGGCTTGGAAGGAATTAAAACACTACTTCAAAAAAGAAATTTTTTCGACATTAGACCATGCGCTCTCAAATTTATGATATTGCATAACTAACACTTTTAAGACCTCAAAAGTCATGTAATAACATGAAGATTTCAATGTGCAACAAGAGAAAGACATTAAGTACTTAAATTGTAACGCCCATAAAGATTAATTAATGAAGTAACACGTGAAGTTTGGCATCATAAAAATGTCATTGTCAATCTGTGTCAGCAGAAAAAGTGAGAAATAGTGATATATCCCCGAAATAGTTGAGAAAAAGTGACTAATTTAAAAATAGCGAGAATAGTGATCTGTTCCGAGGCCTGTAATTTTCATATTTTTAAATTATATTATTAATCATCTAACTCTTGATATATGAAATAAAATATCTAAGTATAAAAATAAATAGTTTATTAATTTATGTAAATAAGTTTAAATTAAAAGCTAGAAAATGTAAGAAAAATTATAAATAGTATTCAAAAATTACATATTTGACATAAAAGTAGCTTATGTACTTACAGCATGCCGTTTTGCTATGTTAATTGGTGACGCTACTCCATCGACTACTGCACCAAGAAACGAACAATGCAATAGATTAGATGCTCGTATCTATAAAATTTATTATATTCCGAGATTAGCATAAATCTTGAAGAATTATAATCCGTAAAATAAGTTAGTAATTTCAAATTCTCAAAATGATGGATCTTAATTAAATATTGATGTGAAGAATATGTTATAAGAAAACTTCTATCAAAATGTATAACTTTATTTTGTCATAAATTTCATTTATTTAATTTAAAAAATAGAATCAGATATAAACCAAACACCTTAAAAGCAAAATTTAAAATAGAACAGAGTAAACATTTCTGCCTTATGAAGTTATCAAAAAGATTAGTGCTGAAGAAGATTTGAAACAAATTTTACATTATGAAGAAAACGAAATCCAAATTATCAACAAGTAGATTTCCACATGCTGAAGGCAACTCTGTGCTGGAAGTAAACGAGGATGAAAAAGACATACATGGAACAGTTCCACTCTAAATAATGTTTGAATTGTTTGTGAGGAGGAGGGAACTGGCATGCATACTTGTTTTAAATGCAATTCCTAGATTTATGTCATCTGTGGAATACCTCTCAAAGATGTTCAAGGTTCCTCTTGGCCATTTTCCAAAAACAGCATGGTTATGGCTAAGTAGTAGTTGGTGTAAATTGTAAAAAAACACAAAATTAGTTGAGAAGAAAAATGCATGTAAGAACTTGGAGAAGTAACCTAAGTATATGAAAACAATAACATACAAGAGTCATCCTCAAGCAAAAGTCAGTGATATTCCAGATGTGGATAAACGCAAAAGGGCTTGTCAAAACATTTCTACTCTGTACTGTTATGGAAATAATCAAGATGTAGCTTACAAACTAGATACAAAGAACAGTTTACAAAATCATTTATTCTGAAATAAAAATTTAGACTTTTTAGATGTTGACCAAACACAATCAGTTTCTCTCCAGAGAGCTACTACAGCAGCAGTTGTTAATGATGGCCAAGATGTTTTTTAAATGCCAGTTCACATAGCTGTGCAAAAAAGCATACGTGCAAAGGTAAAAATATAGCCTAAAATACAATTCCAAATGTCACAACAGCCTAGCTTATGAGAATATATAGACTAACAGCATACTTCATTTTATTTCATATTTCACACTTCTCACATTCCAATATTCCATATAAATACATAGATTTTAAATTTTGGATCATAGAATCATATTTATAAATTCTCAAATTTCATAACAAAATTTACTGATGTAAATATGAAAATATATAACATCTCATTGCAATTAAAATCTTCTAAGTACTGAGAAGATATTTAAAAATACTAACTTTATTTAATTAATTAAATAAGTAAAAAGTTTGTTTCATAAAATTTGTTTATAACTGTTTAAAATTTAAAAAAAATCAAATAAAAATTCTCATTGTTTAAAAACAAATTATTCTGTTTTAATTCAAGTATATTGGAAACTGATTATGAAAACTGGGCATTTGTTAAAACTAGAATTGACTGATATATACAGTGGGTGATTGGTTAACGAACATAATCTGTTCCAACACTTTGTTCGCTATCCGAACTGTTCGTTAATCGATTATCGATTTACCATACGTTTGTATGGGAATTTGATTAATTCATTCTGGAGACCACAAAAAATAAAAAAAATATATACTTTCTTACTACATTCATTTATATGTAATAATAAAAATACATATATACACAGTCTTGCATTTTTATTAGTTATGTTTTTTTTGTTTGTGGAGTTAAAGAATCTGTCTAATGTCAATTGCTTTTCTCTCTTCTTCAGGATTTTCATAAGTAATTAATAGCATTGTAATTGTAGAGATCCCCAAGCCTATTAACCTCAACCTGGTTTGTATGGCATTCTAAGACCACTGATCTGACATCCCCCACTTCTTCAAAAGATCTTTAATTAATAGCAGATATCGGTATTAATCCTCTTTTTCATAATAAAACATATCTCGCTGAGTTTCTTGGTGTTCTTCATTCAAGAGTTCTTGGTGTTCTTCTGTTGTCAGATCTGTTTCAGGTTCCATTATAAGCTCTTCAATGCTCTTTATTTCTCAGAAGTGATTTTTGTTACTCCTTTAGCTGCTTGAGTCTTCTTGACTATACAGTATCTTTCTTAGATAAGATTGAACTGCACCCTACTGTAGTTTTGTTCAAGCCATACTGCCCAGTAACATCAGACATCTTCTGCCCACTCTCTACCTTTGTTATTTTACCTTTTGAAAATAAAACTCGATGCAAAACTATGAGTGTCCGTCCGACAGTCTAGTGAATACTATAAAAGAATTGTTTCTGTCAGAAAAATAAAAGGCTGGAATTACAAGGGAGAGTTTCAAAGTTTGGAGGAATACTATCTGATGAGTATATTTTGGGTTGAGTGTCAATGTTGACGTCTCCAGTGCCTGAAGCCAAGAGAAAATCAATCCGGTATTTGCTATTTTCATCGTTTCTTTTTATGTTTGTTCAATAAAGTGTTCATTGTCCGATCATAAAAATCTTTCTCGAAAGTGTTCGTTATCCGATCACCCACTGTAATATCTAAGTCTGAAATTCATCAAATAAAGTTAGTAATTTTGCTTATTGACAAAAGAATAAAATAACTTCCCATTCTACCTAAAACAGACAATGTTTTTGAGTTTTTATTAGTCATTTTTAGTTTTTCCAAATGCCACAAGTCCATAACAATTTAGATTAGGCAATTCAAGAATGATCAGATTTCGGAGTTTGCTTGTAATGTTTATACAATAAAATAGTGCATTCATAAATCTTAGAATTTAACCTGATATAAATCTGATTAAATTTATTGCAACTTAATTTTATTGTCTGTTGAACTTTTTAAATTTAAAAACTTTTTATAGTTTTAAAATTTAAAAAGTTCAATAGCAATAAAACTAAGTTACAATAGATTTAATCTGAAATCTATCATCATGAGATTTATTTTAGGCTAATTATTCAAATTTTATAGTCAATTTATATTATAATTGAACTTACTTCTGTACATGCTAAATGGTCCAGATTTTTAAAATCCATATTAGCTCTGCAATAATCAAACATATGTATTAACTCATGACTCATTGCTCCTTGCACTCTTCCAGATGATTTGGCCACATTCTGACATATTATAACCTGATTTAATTCAGGATCATAACCTCCACTTACTATATCATCGCAAGGTTCACATACCACGTGACGTTTAAGATCAAAATCACTGAAATAAATAAACACATATAAATTATTAAACTAACACAAAACGACTACTAATCCTAACACTGCGTTGAGTAACAACAATCCACAAAATCTTTTTATAACACTGTTGTGTCCTATAACAGTCTTCACAGATATTTTCGACCTCCACCGAGGTCTGCTTCAGGTGGTGTCTCCTCTTGATCGTTGGAACGATGACGCCCAAGATGTAAATAATGCGCGTATCGCGTTTCACCTCTCTGCTTGTCCCCATCCGAATTCTTCGAATAAGAATCACCACACCTGTGTGATTATTTCTCTGTCTTTAAAGTTGATGCAGGTGCCCCCAATGTTGGCTTTATAAATCTCCCAGGCCTCCAGGTGACGGATGTGATCAATACGAAATGCCCGTCTGATTACTTTGGTGTTTTGGAAGTCCGCCCGAATTTCCGGGTCAGTAATGTAGGCTGACAAGGCGGTGGTGTGCCTGTTATTTTTAATACCCGCTCAATGCTCACGTAACCATTTTTGTGTTGAGTGGATGGTGGAGCCAATGTAAACTAAGTCTCTATGGAATCTATCGTCCCTGATGGGAATAGAGTATACCCTCTATTGCATCCTTGGCATTGCACAGCAGGTTGTAAATAGTGCCAGTTCTCCTGTACGCGATTTTTTTGTGATTACGGCAAGCAATCTCCTTGTATAGGGGGTCTAAATGTTGGTTGAACCAGATGGCCGCACGTCTATCGTTCTTAACTGGTTGGTGGCCACGGTCCGCGTAGGCAGGGGGCTGCTACTGCGGCATGGGGGACGGTTGGCGCAGGCAGGGGGCTGCTACTGCGGCATGGGGGACGGTTGGCGCAGGCATGGGCTAAACCACAAATCATGCCTTTACTGTAGTCATGCTCAACGGCAAATTGCCATTGAGCATGCCTCCTGCCTAAGCCAGACTGCAGCCACCAACCAATTAAGAACGATAGACGTGCAGCCATCCGGTTCAACCAACATTTAGACCCCCTATACAAGGAGATTGCTTGCCGTAATCACAAAAAAATCGCGTACAGGAGAACTGACACTATTTACAACCTGCTGCGCAACGCCAAGGACACAATAGATCTCAACAGGGCCCCAGGGGTATACTCCATTCCTATCAGGGACGATAGATTCCATAGAGACTTAGTTTACATTGGTTCCACCATCCGCTCAACACAAAAACGGTTATGTCAGCATCGAGCGGGTATTAAAAATAACAGGCACACCACTGCCTTGTCGGCCTACATTACCGACTCAGAAATTCGGGCAGACTTCCAAAACACCAAAGTAATCAGACGGGCGTTTCATATTGATCACATCCGTCATTTGGAGGCCTGGGAGATTTAGAAAGCCAACATTGGGGGCACCTGCATCAACTTTAAAGATGGAGAAACGATCACACAGACGTGGCGATTCTTATTCGAAGAATTCGAATGGGGACAAGTGGAGGGGTGAAACGCGATATGCGCATTATTTACATCTCGGGCATCATCGTTTCAACGGTCAAGAGGAGACACCATTTAGTCACCACCTGAAGCAGACCTCGGTGGAGGTCAAAAACCTTCATGAAGACTGTTATAGGACAACACTGTTATAAAAAGGTTTTGTGGATTGTAATTATTCAACTGTCATCTATAATAAATCATGTCATCCACAGAATCACTCAATATACAAAAGAGAATAAGATAAATCATATAAATAGTTAGACCATTATTTTCATTGAAATTATATCTCTTACTTGTATTAGCTTAACATTTAATATCATATAAATTTTTTAAAATAGAACATGAACTTACCAACCTGAACTGTGTAATGCACTGATCATTAATTTGACCAAAGGACCTGTAACAATAATAGCATTAATTTTTTTAAATATTTGCACCAAATATTTAACAAATAATAGTTTTTCATATAAAATATACAGTAAGTGGTTTATTTAGAGAATTATTCAGACAATCACAAATCAAATGATTTCAGTCTACTTGATAGACCATCAGGATATAGAGCAGTTCAAAATGGAAATATTAACATTTGAAATAAATATAAATTTTTGAAGAAATCAAATACTTAAATACATCAATATAACATTTGCAGCTTGCAGTTTTACAATAAAAATAAGTAAACAAAAATGTATAACTGAGTGAATTATATTTCCATTAAAATTGCATTGATGTGCTTGTTCTTGACTTGTTAATTAATGCGTATTTCCACACACTTGCAACAGATTCAGCATCTTTTGCATTTAAGCATTCACCAACTAACTTCTACTTAAATATTTTCATTTTTTCCACTGTGTACCTACAGAATGAAGTGATATTCCCGACAACCTTTACTCAATCCTATTTAATCTCGATATCCTTCATGTTGGCAAAACTGGCTAGAGCTATGCAATTTCTTCTATTACATGTACAGTACCTATATATAATAGAAGCAACTGCAGAAATATTTATGCAAAAGTTAGTGAATAAATGCTTAAAAACAAAAGCAACCAAATCTCTTGCCAATGTGGGGAAATATTTATTAATTAACATATGAAGAATATGCATGTCAATTTTAACAGATGGTCGTCTATCAAATAGACCAAAAATGTTTGATTTGTGAGTAAAACAATGATGTTTATGGTGTGATACCAGCTCAATAAGTAGCATTCGTATTGAATTTGAATTATTCAGATACAGATATTCCAGTTTTCACTGCTATTTTTCTGTACAGAAGAATTATTTCACAGATTTAAAAAATTTAAAACATTAAAAAGAATATCTCAAGTAATTAATGAGTCGCTAAATTCATATAACAGGATAAATTGATAATAGGTTAGACAAGTTTTGAAAACTTTTTTCAAAAAGTTCAATACTAAAAATCTTTAAATATAATTTTCTTATTTGAAACACAAAATTATGCTACATTTTAGTTTTTATGAGATGATAAAGCAAAATTATAATAAAATAAATTACGTAATATTTTATATTGTATTTACAATTAATAAATCAAAAAATTTTGTAGTTATCTTGTATCTACACTGAAATTTGAAAACAAAATATCATTACTTAGAATTTTGTGGCAAATGAAGTGTCATAAAATTAATCACAAATTGCAAGTTTGAAAAATGAAATGACTGAATAAATATGTGCAAGGATTGAGTCTGTTCAATCTATAATAAATTCTTGGTATTCTTGTTGTATGCAGTCTATCATATATTCCTATTGTTATGTATTTCATGTTCAGACTTGGATGAATTTGTACTGCAATATATGAATTGGAATATTTGAAAAAAGAAGTACGATGGGTGGCAGAAACACCATTGTTCAATTTAGCAAATGCCTACTAAGAAAATAAATAATATCAACAAAGAAGAAATCAGTGACAAAGATATGTTCACTCAATGAAGTCATGGCCAGCAAACTAAAGGGCCAAGGGTGTTTGGAATGTGCCAAAAGGGATATTGACATAAGACATTTTATTGTTGAAATAAAAAGTTCTTTTCTATTAATGGGACACCAGTTATATCTTTAATCTGATGCACGACACTCGTCTGATTGCTCCACCAAGACTATTGCATTTAATTATTTATATTTAGCCCACGTGACTGTGCCAGCTTCGAGTAGTCCACTCGACTGTTTGTGGAGTAATTGATGTTATATAGTTTTAGGGAGTGTGAGGGCTTGCCCCCACCCGGGTGCCGAGGTGCGAGCAATAGCAAGCACCAAAGTGCACAACTATAAACAAAGCATGTAGAATAGGCAGTATACTGATACATGTTCAAAACTGATCTTTGGAGGTGAATATCTCGCAAAGGGTCAACAATTCTGGGTGGTGCGAAACCCCTCATTCAGAGAATCTTACCATATCAACTGGTGTCCCGTTAACAGAAAAGTACCAAATAAAGACCATTCAACTCTTAATAAAGTAATCCAAAACAAAACAAATCTACCTATTCATCAGAAATCCATTCTGATGAATGGGCAGATTGAAGGACATTGAACATTGGCTACATTCAAAACACTAAACCATTATAAATATTTATAGATCCTACATCTAGTACAAATACACAACAAACAGAAGCACTATGGGCTCCACTGAAAATAAGGATGGTAAAGAAAATGTACAGAATTTGTCAAGAAATACTTCTTTCTTATTTTGCTGAACAATGGTGGTGTCTAAAAATCCAAGAAAAGCCATGAAGTTGTACAAATAGGCTAATGTAATTTTTATTCGTTTAATGTCTTAATGAGCCCAGTGGCAAAGTGGTTCCGTTCCAAGAGTTTGGGCGTAAGTTTGTACCTTGCCCATACAGGCCGGCCACATGGAGTTTTCTCCACATCTATAACGCCCGAATAGGGGCCAGCTAGCCTTAAAAGACCACCCGGAAAGCATTATTCCCCCACATAACTGCAGCATGGAAGGCAATGGATAACCACCATGCATTCGTGGTTTTCCCCAAGATTTGATGGATAGAAGATTTCAAAAAACTGTCCATCATCTACAACTCTGTAAAAGAGGACGCAATGGAATGAATGAATGTTTTCCCATTTTTCTTCATTTCTTTCTTAATTTTATTATTTTCCATAAAAAGTAAACCTACATAAAATTTCCTAAACACTCTTAGTCTTTGGCAATGCTAACACACTGGCAATTTGCTAAGGGAGAGGTGTCTGTCGGGAAGATTTCTGTAGAAAACTGACCCCTATTAAATGTTAGACTATACTTGGTTAGACACTCGAGAAAAACTCCACGTGGCCAGCCCATAGGTCAAGCACAAACCTCCACTGCGTCTTGCATTGTTAACCAGTTAATGTAAATATTTTAGCAACTGTGTACGTAAATTGGCATACAAATTTTATAGAAATGACACAATTTATTAGATTATATAATAAACAATTAATTACTCTTCTCCATAACTTCGCACACGTGTTGTTCGCATTTCAAATGATCGGTAGGCTTTGCGCTTAAAGATTCTTCTATCCAATTTTTCATATGATTTTTCCTCCCGGGAAAATGTTTTAAATCATACCCATCCGTCGAACATTCCCTATTAGAAACATTCTCTCCCTTCGTTTCTGCCGGAACATCCTTCCCGGAGGGCGCCATTTTGATTAAATTTATCGGACCTCTGGTGGCCATATTTAAAAAGAAAAAATAATTTAAAATACAATATTAATAATTAGTATTTCTAAAGAAAATTAATTAATTCTATAATAATACTATGCATGGAATAAATAGAGATTTTTGAGTAAAGCATGGCTAACAAAAAAAAATTATAAAATGTTTGAGATACGAATGGAATTTTAATCAATCTATAGAATGAAACTGCTTTCAAAATGAAGAGTTGTTTCATCTATAATGTTTCATAGCGGATACAATAGCATACGTAATAAATGACATTCTAGAGTATCAGCTGCGCTCGCAAAATATAGATAGATGAATGGACATAATGGAGGAAGCTTCAAACTATGATTCAATGTCGTCGGATCAGCGCTCTCATAAGATGGTGCCGGTTGCAATCGGGGCTAACTTGGCCTTAAAAACAAGGAATTTGGTTTTGATCAACATACAACGAACAACCAACTACATAAAAATAGTTGCATGAACAATAGACAAACATCGTTCGTTAGTTTATTTTATATTTGCGCAATAGACTAGCTAGACGTCATGAATTTTCTGTTAACTCATTAAAAATTAGAAATCAATTAGAATTAAGTAAAGGGCAATCCAGATGTAAGAGGAAGCACGTCCTCAAAGTTTTCCAATGTAGAGTATTAGGAAATTACAGAGAAAATTTGTATTTACTAATCATTACATTGTGTTTATGATTCTAAGTGCTTCATAATTAGAGCTGCTAACCGTTAGCTATTGGAGTTCCTGTCAACTTGTCAGAGCAATGATTGACAAGTCTGCGATTATCCTTGAATATCTTACACGAGAAGTACATTAGCTAATTAGTGTACTTCTCATGCAAGATATAAGAAGAGAAATGCCAAAGTTGTAAAGAAATAATTAATTAATTAACGAATTACAAGTATGTTCAGGACACAGGAGAGCGACCACAAAAACTTCAATTGGGTTTCTTAATAGAATAACAGAGTAAGAAGAACCAGAGAAAGGGTGATAAAACCAATATGTTAAATCTCGTATGAATTTTTTTATTGGCAGTCGTACCAGTCTTGGTGTCACATTATCATAATAAATTTAGAGTAATTCTGTGTTGTATTTTAATGTCCTGAAATCAAAACGTGTAATACCAAACATAAAATTGCATTTGTATAAAAAGTATTCACATTTATTAGATATTTCTAACTTCTAAAGTATCAAAGAACATGTATTTATTCTAAAAAATTATATTCAATATATCCTGTGACAAAGTTGTAATGTACAGTACATCTTTTATTAACTGTACACTTGTAGCAATGTGTTAATAAATTCGATAACTTTAAATTATCAAGGAGAATATTTTACACACTTTTTTTACATAAGCTATGAGTAAATATTTCGAAAAATTTTAAATTAAAAAGTCTAAGAAAAAATAAACTTGTTACTCCGATTAATTTAATTAACATTTTCTAATCGCTAATTAAAGTAGCTGACCAGAATTCAAGCGTAAAGAACAATCTGAAAGTACTTTTTTCTCGAAGCGTTGTCTAGCTAGTCAAGTTAGAAACGTACGGCTTTTCCGAGCATTGGCTCTAAAATATATATATACATACACACGTTTATGTAGAGTACAGTACATGCGTATACAATACACATATGTTGAGCTCACAAAGTTCTTGCACTGTTTGTACTAGACATAACAATATTTGCTAAAACATTGTATTGTTTTTGTCAGGAATGCCAATGTACTGTACTTGTACAGTGTATTGTACAAGTTAGGTTGTAATATATAAATATTAAATTTACACTTTAAAACGAGAGCACAATTTAGCAAAACCGTCCTGTGATAAAGCGACTAAATAAGAACAAACAAAAGTTACGTAACATTTAAAAGCACCTACTCGTAGCATAAACTCTGCTATCCAATATAACAGACATTACATTTCTCCCCTAAATTTCCTTCCATTGTGCTAGTTACCCCTATGTTTAAAAAAACACTAATGTTCCTAAAACGCGTCGTGAACAAAATGGAGTACATCGAATATCAATTTCTCACCGAATATATTGTGTCAGAGATATGGTATAGTACATTGCAAACCAATTAAAAGCAATTTATGTGCAAGTGTTTAGTGTACAGTAACAAACTGTTTATATGGAAGTGTCGCTATTTGTTATACTTTCAACACCTACTATAACATGGTAACGGCCAGATGTTTCAGCTGTTAAGAATTTAGTCTACCCTCAGAGATCGAATTCGGGCTGTTGAAGAACCCAGGGCGATCTTACCTGATGTATCGAGTTCCGTCTCATACAGTCCGCCAGTCCACGTTGTGGATCTTCAGAAACCAAGGATGGGTAAGATTAAAACAGCCCTCTCTCTTAGTACCCCCCATAAACAAAACAAAACAAAAAATCACCAGCTGCCATATTGCAAATGTGATGAAATATACGATGAGCACCAAAATCTTTAATTAATGATCTTAGGTAAGAGTTAGCAATACTGAAATACGAGCGCAGATAATTTCTTACCATAGTAAATTTCCAGAGATTTAACAGAAAAATTCATCACAAAACTATTATTGATGTTAATGTGTGAAATTCAATTTAATCCATGCAAGGTGTGATTACCAGAGCCCCTTCGGCCGCCAATTTGAAGCGTTTTAATCTTTAAAATTGGCGTTTCCACTTCCCGGGACGAGGACCCAGGGGTTGGATTTGTGGGAAGCGAGTGTTCGGGTTGTTTCATTGTGTCGAATTACACAGAACGAGGCGCTTGACATGTAAGTGCGTGAGTGCGAGAATTCGAGTAAAGGTTAAACGGTGTATATATCTTCGTGTACAGTGATATTGTGTCCGTGCGTGTGTATGTGTGTGATCGAAGAACATCTTCGGCTTGTCTATAAACAGAAAAACAGTAAATTACGATACGAGAATAAGACGTGTTAAAAAATGAAACGAAACGAAAGAGTTCTTACCATTGGAGATTTCGGAAAATATTCACTTGTACGATAAATGGCCGCTTCGTCCTCTTGGTGGTAAAGTTGGGGAGGGAGAAGAATCGCCCTCCCAAATGTTCCTATAGAGCACAAAGACAGTGAGAAAACGTGAAGTTCATTCATTTATTACCTAAGGTCAACATTATTACCTTTATCAGACAGTCTTTCTTCCCGAACAGTGTTATGAGAAGAGCGAAAGACCTGACCTAGCCTTTACTATCCTAACCTAACCTACCGTAACCGGAAGATCAATCCTCATAACAGCTATTTGGGAAGAAAGGTCGGCCAAATGTCGCGCCGGATGATCACAATCGGAAGTCAAATCTATTGTCGTCGATTGAGTGTCACGTTTGGCAGACAAGCCCATGAGGTGAGAACATCCGGGTAAGAGAAGGCCACGTCCGAGTAAAGGTGTCGAATCCGGGTGCAACGGACGAGTTGGGGAAAATCGAAGAGGATCACCGCCCAAGTCAAGGGAACCGCAGCCTCCCACAGCAACAAAACCGCGGTTCCTCGACTTCGGCGGCGCTCTCCTCCGAATCTTCCCCGTTACGACTTCCGAAAGACGATGGTGACGTGGTCGCGAGCGTGGACGGAGAGTCAGACCTCGCGAAAATAGATGAACTCCAAGAGGACTCGTCACTCCCTATGCCTTCCATAATTAACAAGGCCTAGGACCGGCTGATCCCTGATGACTTGGCCAAATGAAACAGACTCAGAACTCTCCCGCCTCCGGGAGAGTTCCACGCCACACGCACTGGGGGAAGGTCGTCACTACTCGCTGCCTCTCGCTCGACGGTCTCAAACGACACCGAACTAATCGATTCGACACAGACCCAGTCGAGCCCACGGTCCTCGAACGTCTCATCGGAACCCCCTCCCTCCTGCGCCACCGCATTCTTCCATCGGAACCTCCGGCGAAACCACGCAAACATCTTCATTCTGAAAAAAAGAAAATTTGCAATTAGTCGATTAAAACAAAAGCTTAAATTAAAGAGCAAAAGCAAAATGCTCACCGTAGCTGCCTTTTTAAATCTAAAAGATTCGAATCCGACCATGGAACGATGTCTTCTGGGACCGATTTTCCAAGTAATATTAAATAAATTCTTTCGTCTAGGGTCAATATGGACTAAGACTTACCTGAAAAATCTTTAATCTTCTCTGCAAAAGTCCGCAAACCGCAAAAAAAGCAACGCAATCGAAGAGCGCAACAATCGAACTGCGAATCGTCATGCGTGACGAATTTCGAACAAACGTTAAAAGACACGTCAACAATGTTCGAATTACGTAAAAATTTGAATTAAAAAAAATCAATTTTATTTTTTTTAATTAATTTTTTTTTCTTTTTAAATTCTGCTTCAATCACTTTCTTGTGTTCGGAATTTGATAAATAAATTATCTTCTGCATTTACATGGTGCAGAATGTCCACCGGGGAGAGTTAAAAGACGATCTTAAATTCTACGTCTCGAGGTTCGACCATCTCCGAAAATCGCACGAAATTGATTCGAATAAATATTTTTTTCGTCCGTTTTCGGCCTTCGCATAAGTACAGTAAAAAATTCTTAAGATTTCGATTTATTTCGCCCAATATTATTTGGCATTTCGGAGGGATTCATCGGTCGCCGCCGGTTTGATGTTGCGTATTAATGCAATATCAAACTGGATAAAGTTAATATTAAAATTACCGAAAAACCTTTATAATACGGCGGAACGAAAACGGGTAAACCGACACAGGGGATAAACAGACTGAGCCGGGGGGAAACCATCGTACTTTCTCCTTGAATTTCTGGCTTTTTAACGGATCACGCCCCTAAATTCTTTATTTGATTAATTAATCAATTTGACACTTCCGTTCGATTTCGTTTTAATCTTGGTCTCTGTTAATTAAGAAAGACGTGATAGATATTACTAGTCTCTCTATTGGAAGAAGAAACCTTTACTTTTTATACGTTCTCTAGCCTGACGAAATAGAGTCTGTCTCCTCGAAGTGAACTACCGTCCTTCTCTCGAAGGCTTTGTACATTTCTAACCTTTCAAGTTGTTTCGGCAGAGGCACTATTTTCTCTCATTGGCGTTTTTTTCATTTCTAAGGAATGAGGAAATTGTAGGGTTCTTTTAAAACTTTACAATTATCTCACGCCTTAGAATTCTGTGCTTACTACATCGGGCTATCTCCTTATAGATGAAACAGAGGGCATTGTAGTATGTGACTACCACATCGTGTGATAGAACTGCCTGGGCTGAAACATTCGGAAAGGATAGATAGTCTATATATAAATTATTCGGGATAAGGACGGAATAATTATATTGTATATTGATAAAACGTTGTCGATTTAATATAAACATTTAATAATTTTTCTATTGTTACCTTTGTTATTTTTTGGTCATTATTATTTTGAATCAGACATTTTTATTGTGATTATTGTTATCTAGCCTTTCATACTTGTTATTTACTGCAGTTTTTCTGGCAACATAATTTTATTTTACTGTAGATTATTATTTTTTCTTCGATAGTACATGTACAGTACAGTACAGTACGTTGGATCTTGGCGTAAAAAGTTTAGTCGAGGGGTAAGAACCATGCATTTAAAAAAAAATTGTAGGCCCATAAATTCCCACTGTCGTCCGTCTTTAATTACTTATGAACTTTCGATTTGCACCGGAAATCATTCATTACGTAAAACTTATCTTGTGTTAATTCAATTTTATTTTGTACATTATTTTAAATAAAATATAAAAATAATCTTAATAAAGATTGTATAGAGTACCACATAATATCACTATTGCCATGGCTAGGCCATTTCTTTTAAAAATGAGTTTGTGATGAATGAATAGTAATGAAATCCAATGATGCGGTTGGAAGATTATAAAACGTCATCGATGACATGAATGACTCCGTTTGTTGTATTGATGTCAGAAAAACTAAAGTTAACTCCATTGACACCGAGGCAATCTGGAAAAAATAATATAAAATTATGAAACGATAATGTAATGTACAGTACATACACTTCGAAGACTTTCCGCCCGTTATTGTATTCATTAAGACACCATTCGGAACAAACGAGGTCAAGAACGGGTCGTGTAGAACAGAATAAGGTAAAGCTCTTGTAGTGAATAAGTTTGAAATGATAAAGTTGCAATTACCAATACAGTAGAAACTTGATTATCCGAAATGGTTTAAAAAAATATGAATGTATTGTAAATACCATAGAATACAATACAAAGAAATCAAACTGTCTACGTAACTGGTGATCATTACATCATCTGTCTATTATAGGGCAGCGAAACTAGGTCATATACGTAACATTACTTTAAATTTTGAGTAAATTAATTTCTTTTCAAACGTAGTAATTGCATTACAGTGTTTATAGTCCACGAAACTTCAAATTCACAGTATTTACTGTATCTAAAACACAAAAGTAAACGAGTTTCTGTATTATCCGAAAAACTCTTGGTTCTATCGAGTTCGAATAATCAATTTTCCATTGTAATAAACTCGTGTAATTTGTTATTTCCACATTTTGTGATTATAAAATATATTTTTGTGCATCATTTATTAAACAATTAAAAACTTATTTAATAATTATTAAATAACGAAAGGGAATTTGTAAATTTTCTAAAATACATTTTAACTTTTGCATTTATTATTAGACATATTAAAAATGAAATACAAATATAGGCTATAAATATACCTGGCTTATTCATAAGCTTCAATTCATGACCATTTTCAGAAGTAAGAGTAGATCCATCTTTAATTCCATTAGTATAGTGAGTGCCTCGTACTAAATGTCGAAGAACAAATTCTAACGGAAACACAATTTAATAAGAATTAATGTGCCAAATGTTATTTAAAATTACTTAAAATAATCTCGATTAATAATATATACCCTTTGCCAAATTAGGATCGGTAATTAAGCGATTATATTCTTCGGAAGACATTTTCTTAAAAGCTTTCTTAGAAGGGGCAAATAAAGTATACGGTCCTCCTTCTATAAATAATACAATTGTATAAAATACGTTAAATTAAAACATACGTAAACGAAATCAAAAAGTATTTACGTTTGATCTCGTCTTCCAAACCGGAGATTTCAATCAACTTAGAAAATTGTTTCATAAGAGGCGATTTGGTAACAGTTCGGTGCAAATCTCCTACAGGAGGAACCAATACTTGATTGACAGGCACAATTTGAACATTTCCTACTCGAATAGGTGGTTTAACTATTTTCGCACCAGACGCAGTAGTTGCCTGAAAATAATATACTTAAGTTATAGGTTATATTTGCAAGTAATTTAAAGCTGTAAATTAAAAATAAACAAATAAATAAATAAAGTATTTCTCAACTCCACGTGATTTTAAATTGAAATTTTGAAACATTGAAATCATGACTCGATTTTCAGTTAAGTATTTTAAAATGATAATGAAATAGTGATGACCCAAATCGTGATTCGAAGTCATGACATCTCTAAGGTTAATACGTTACTCTTTATAATGTATTATTTCGTTGCCAATTAAGACGGAAAAAATTTCGTTTTTTAAGAGAAATTATATTAAAGAAAATAAGATCAATTCTGAATTAAAAAATATAAAAACTGAAAAAATCAAAATATGTCCAAAAGTAATCTCGAAAGGACAAAGTAAAGCGTAACTACTCACGTCTTCGTATTTATTAATCCGAATATTTTTATTAGGTAACAAAGTAGGCAATGTCATATCATTGGGAATGTGATCTGGATCAACTAAAGAAGGAACAATGTGATGCTTTAATGTCTTTTGTAATTTCTTTGGCTGCTTCTTCAGAGTGGATCGAAGCGTTGGAGGAAGAGAATTAAGGGCTTCGTCGGTGGGAACAAATATTGTATATTCATCTGAAATTAAAATGAATAAAATTTTATTGGATGCTTTTAAATTTTTTTTTATCATCTGGCAACTGAAATGAAGCTTATACACGAATTCATTAGTTAATTTATTATTATTATTAATGTTTTATATTATTGATACAAAGATGTAAAATAGTAAAAAATTAAATCACTTTCCAATTGTCATGAAGGTAGGAATTTAAGAAATTACAAAGTCATATAAGTAATTTCATAAAATTTACAATGTATTTTGCTATAGTAATTATTTCTAAACTCACAATTTATTAAAAGAAAATATTTTATATTCGAATTATACTTACTACCGTCTTGAAAACTATCTAAATATCCAGACTGATTGAGTAAACCGATGAACTCATCGATTCCTTGACCCATAGTGGCATCCAAAACTGATGGCAATGTAGTTGTAGGCAAGTCGGTCGTACTCACTGAGCTACTTTCAATAGTTTCAGTTGATAATAGAGCAGTAGTAGTTTCTTCAGAAGCACTGGTAGTTTCTTCAGAAGCACTGGTAGTTTCTTCAGAAGCACTGGTAGTTTCTACAGGCGTAGTAGTGGTTTCTACAGGCACAGTAGTAGTTTCTTTAGGCGTAGTAGTAGTTTCTTCATGCGTAGTAGTAGTTTCTTCAGAAGTAGTAGCAGCTAAAGTAGTTATAACAGATGTTGGACTACTGTAGCGTTCTGTGAAATCACTTGAAGATGGGATAGTTGTTACTTCTGTCTCTGAAATTGTTGAAGACAAGGTCGTGGAGGGAGAGGTGGTGGTTTCAAATTCTGATTCGTCGATAGGACCTAATAAAATTTTATCTACAATATAATATACTCATAAAATAAGAATTAATTTATACAGTATTACAGTAAAACCTGAATAGGGCGGGAACCTTCCAGAGATGGAAAGATCAAATATTTTTTTAGGAAAATGATTACAAATGTTCTCTGCACAAAGTAGGTAACAAATGCTCATAGGTTCCAGCTTTCTCCGATAGTTGGAACTTATGAGCATTTGAAATGTTATAATTGGGCTAGAATAATATAAATATATTGCTTTTAAGTGACAATTATAAATAATATTATTATATACGATAATAATATAGTGATTACAGGTTCCAGCTTTCGGAGAAAGCTGTCTCACAGCTTTTTCATTCTGTCCGTGTCTCACAGGTTCCTGACACGGACAGAATGAAAAAAGTGAGACACGGACAGAATGAAAAAAGTGAGACACGGACAGAATGAAAAAAGTCATGCTGCTGCAACCCAAATACAAGGAGGTATAGGCGCAAAGTAAGAAACTAGTTTGTTCTGTATTTTTACTTTATAATAAAATTAATAAGAAAATAAGCATATTTTGACTATAGGCCTATAAGTTAATAAAATCGAAAACTTATTTTTGATTTTATGATATTAAAGGTTGCTGACGTAATAAGTATAAAAAAAAGAGAAAAGAAGGAGTAAAGTTATAGTTACAATAAATAAAATAGAATCAACTCAATTTACTTTTTATGAGATGGAGAAAGGGAGAGAAATAACATTTATATACTAACCACACCCACGCTCTATCTAACGTTTATGCATCGTGTTTGTTTATTATTGAAATTTTATTTCCCAAGATGTGATAATTGTTCTAGAAACCCGAGTGAAAGGTTAAGTTTATCTCCCAAAATGAAGATCGATTTATCCCATTACACAAAGTACTTCCATTTGTCTGTCTGAGACCCATTGCATTAAGGACTGTTCTGATTGAGGCCCACTGACGTTCGATTGTTTTATTAAAAATTGAATTCTGCCCACTTATTTATATGTAAAATCTTTACAATATACGCACATCTCTAACAAATTAATACTACGTCCTGTCAATGGCGGAAAACCTGTGTGATACGGACAAACAAAATAGACCCTTGGATTTCTGGCTTTAGCAGGTTTTTAGGTCTTTTATTGAATCAGTATATAATCTTATATAATAATATTATTTATAATTGCCACTTAAAAACAATAAATTTATATTATTTTAGCCCCAATTATAACACTTCAGTAACGAATAAACAATTAAATAAAACTATGAACTGTAATTTTAATCATTATTCTATTAGTTATGAAATAAAATTAATTATATTACTTTAATAAAAACTTATATTAACTAATACTCAAATTTATCCCAAAAAAGGAAGGCCGAGCTTATTTAAAATAGAAGTAATTTAACTTAAGGGAGACATTGCAAATTAGTGCCACTAAATGCATGCGTATTTCATATTTGCATATTCTATTTTATTTTTTAAATAGTTATTTTAAATTTCAGTAAGTAGAACATTTTAATATAATAAAATTCCCCATATGACCTTACTTCTTTCTCACTAATGTTACAGGCTGCTTCTCTTCACGAATTTTTTTTGAAATATATTCCACGAATTAAAATGTTTATCCCAGATGTTAAAGCAAGGAAAACTTTTCAAGAAATAGTTTGAATTTAACGTTTGGTTTCATTTATGAAATAAAATATAAGAAGAAATATTATGACTAATTCATTTAAATTAGCATTTTTTAAATGTAAATTAAACATAAGTATATTTTTATTTGTTTATATTTAGCCACTTCCTATATTAGTGTGAGCCCGCGGATTTTTACGGGGCTCTTAAAAAACATTCCAATTTTATGTTAAGTGTAAATATCTTCGGAAAAAACCCGAAGAAATTGAAACTAGATCGGAGGTCACCGATTGTAATAACAATTAGATGGGAAAGTTGGCACTTAGGTGTGAAGAATGCACCGTCATCGTCAACAAAAGTCAATCACGTGTCAGTTTTCCCACGACAATGATATAAAAGGTGCAGACCACCGGAAGCTCTGAAGTTATATTGATCATTGTGATTTCACTTCTCCCGCATCGGTAGAAGACATTGACCAAGCCCAACTCTTTCATAAAGAACTGTTATTGCCACATATAGCACTTTGAGGTAATTATTTTGAACCAGGGAACTCTCTCTACGCATATAGGACTAGTCGTTAGAGTAAATCCTTTAGAGAAAGGATAGAGTGTATAATCGCCATAGGCGTAATTATGTTATCCGAATTTATTCTTAGATGTATCCAACCTTGTAACCTTTTGTATTTACTAGTTAGTTATATAATAAATGCTTGTTTAGTTTTTAAACTTGTCTCCTGTCATTTAAGGGCACATGCCAACTTACCGACACTCCCCACTCACTTTTTGCCTTCCTAGCCATCCAACGACTCCGAGATCGGGCTTTACCAGCCTGTGCAGATTAAGTGATCAGGCAGAGATTAAGCCCTGACCCGCTGCTAATCTCACATTAGTAATTGCTATTAATTTAAAAATAGCATATTAATTTTTTAAATGAAATTTCTTTGAGACTAGCTCATGACTCGAGAAATAATAATTATAGGCCTATATATTTAAAGAATAATTGTATATATTTTATATATTCACTCCTCTTATTCTTATATAAAAATAATTTAATGAATTGCTTCTAGATTTTGCGAATTGAATTTCCCTAATTAAATTATAAAGAAATATGTTTTTATTAAATTAATATATCGTTCAACTTTTCCCTTCTTTCATATAATCCTGAAAACATTTTAATTATATCTAAAGTTAAATTTTGATAAGGATTTCGCAGAAGTTTAAATACAGCTCAGGCTATAAAGTTCAACTTACTGAATTTCCATTTCCAATTGAATAAGTAGAAAGTGTATTCTAATCAATTATAATATATGTACATTAGAGTAAGAGGAAAATTATTGTAAAAATAATTAAGCTCATTTCATTACCATAAGTTACATCTTGTTTTGATATAACTGAATCAAGCAGATGGATAACACCATTTCCCGAAGTTATGTCTGGCTGAATAATCCGAACGCCATTGACATAAATTCCCTCTAGAAAAATAATAAAATAAAACTTTTAATAATAATATTCTTTACTTATTAGTTTTATTTTTAATTACTATAAATATTTACCTGGAGTTTTTACAAAATTTAGAGCTTCGCCCAAACGAGATTCAAGATTAGAATCAGAATCGAATTCTATGCTATAATGAATTCCAGACACAACGTGACGTAAAATCAACTCTGAAAAACAATCATTAAGTTATATAAAATTATTCTGTGATAACTAAAAACTAATAATATTTTCCAAAAATATTGCTTTTTTTCTTTAAGTAGGCCTATACTGTCAAATTAATGCAATTTTAGAAGTTTTATAAAAACAAAATTAATCCTAAACAAATTTCCAACTATAAATGTATAATGTAGATGTATAAAATAAATAGATTTGTTTTTATTATTTTTATAAATTTTTTCAAATAAAATTTCAATTTCTTAAGATAAAGACAACTAATTAACATTTGTACAGTGTATGTGCAAATGTTAATTAGTTGTCTTTACTTTAATTACCTATCAAATTCAAAATAAAATTAGTTTTTGCTTATTTTGAATATATAAAACCATTCGAATTAACTTTTAACAAAAGCATTCTAACTTTCACAAAAAGTATATTAAAAAAAAAGTGAAAAGTAAAAATACTTTAATATTACTATCAAAATACTTAAATAATATCGAACCTTGTAATGAATAAGTATCTTTAAAAATTTCTTTTAAGACTTCTTCCGGAATATTCTGAAATGCTTTATTTGTGGGAACAAATACAGTTGCAACATTAATTCCTAAAAATAAAATAATTTCATAATTAATTAATTAACAACAACTGATTATATTCGTGTTATTACTTTAGATATTATATGAATTTTCCAATACAACTAAAAGTAACAGTTCTCTATAAAATTCTCTCGTACTATTTCAATTAAAATAATGAAAATTTTTATTTTACTTCAACTGAAAGTGAATAAAAGAATCAGAGAATAGAAAGTATTTTTAAAATGCGTAATATTACGCTGATGAGTTTCAACTAAGCTATCCATTTAACTATATTTGTAATGTTATTTTCGGTACTGTTATTCAATTTGAAAAGAGAAAAACAAGTATATTTTGTATATAACAAAAGGGAAAGAGAGAGATTTAATAGCTTAAAAGACCCAAAAGACAATACAAATATTACACCCAAAAGACAATACAAATATTACATTGTCTTTCATGCGACGATAATAAAATAAATTTTGATGGCAGTATAAAAAATCAATCGGAACAAAAAAGGAAATTAAATAACCAATTCAGTTTTCCATTTATATCCTACATTTTCTGAAAAATCCATATTCTACAGAATATATTTTAAATTCATAAAACAGAATAAATGCAGAAAAAAAATGTTCTTTGTTCTAATTTTTTCTTAAGTCTATTTGACAGCAATGCAATAAAGTACAGTATCATCTTACTGTCGTTAAAGATGAATATTCGCTTCTTTCTTACAATTTATCATAGATATCATGGAGTATTCGTGATATATTGACTGAGACAACATCTTCATCCTTCATTATAATGTACCATCCAGTCGCTCTTGCTGGTAATGGATAGAAGTGAAAGCAACCACGTAACCCGTTTCTACTAAAAACCATTTAATTCATTATGATGTAGAAAGTTTCTTGTACCAAATGTTATTGGCTTCTTTCTTCTTTATAGATTTATTTCAAAAATATATTCGCCTTTTTCAAGCAGGAAAAACAATGACATTCGTTATAAGTTGTCAAATAAAATATTCATTAAGCTTATCTTATTTCGACTCTTCCGATTAATCCTTTGCGCGTTTGCTGACAGCTGTGTTCTTAATAAATTTGCTATTGATCTCTTAATTTGTTCTTCACATTTTTCATTCTTTCTTATTGTACATGCAATTTTTTTTCTACCCAGATCCAATTAAAAAGTGCGCGATCTACCTAGCTACTTCAGTCCCTTGCTCAGTAAAGAAAAATATGTACTCTGATCAATTAGTCTGGTTCATTCAGAAAAATAGAATACTCATTTAGAGCAGGGATAATAAAGAATAATTCAAAAATATTCAAATTCAATTGGGTCAAAATAATTTAACTACTAAACACAAATACTACAAAGTATACTACATATTTAATATATTAAATTGATGCCTTTCGTATTTAAAATAAATGAATTATAACAAAATACAAAAAGATTTTTAAAAGTTAATAAATATATAATAAATTTTCTTTGATTTAAATAAAAAACAAACTAAAGTAAATTTAAAATGCAGGAGTCGGAGTCGACACATTTTTTCCGACTCCGACTCCACAGTCCTGCTTATACAGTAACTCTTTACTTTGCGACGTATTTACATAATAACAACCGCAATAACATTCATTATTTTAATTTGTTTTTAAACATCTATACATCATACATTATTCATCAAGACCGAAGGTAATGGTTGCAATAAATAATTTGTCTTCTTTTGTAAAAATGAAATTTAATTGCTTAATGTCTATTAAAGCTCTTTTAATAGCTCAATTACAGAAAATTTATTTGAATATTTGATAAAGAATATACATGTATGTCTTTAATCAATTTAAAAAAAAAATTCCCACAACGAGTTGCTTAACTTTCTCGCAACATTTAAACTTTTGGTAGCATGATATTTTATTTAATTAAAAACCTTTTTATATTTTTAACTATTATAAAACGGCAAAAAGCTTAATTTTGAGAATAGGGATAATTTTTATATATATATAAATTATAAATGCTAACGAGTAAAATCGTCATTAAGTTCGACCCTACTCGAGATATGACATACGATCTCTTTTATCTTCCCATCCCGTCGATCTTTAACCACCAAAATTTAATAGAATCGATTCCCCAATATACAACCTTCCTACAAAATATCAGAAATTTTCGACTAAAAGCATAGGATTAAGTTTCAAAGAGGGTGAACAAAATCCTGCCCCAACACACACAAACATCCATACATACAGAAAAAATCCCGAATTTTTTTGCATTTCTCAACTTTTCTAGGTCCTCTGAGTCCAAAACTGTAAAACTTTTGAAAAGAGGGGTCATTTTTTACTGATTGCCATACTTTCCCTGTTATTTATAACAGAACGGGGAAAGTAAAAATCATAGAAATTTCGTACAAGAAGTGGTTTTTTTNAATAAATAATTTGTCTTCTTTTGTAAAAATGAAATTTAATTGCTTAATGTCTATTAAAGCTCTTTTAATATCTCAATTACAGAAAATTTATTTGAATATTTGATAAAGAATATACATGTATGTCTTTAATCAATAAAAAAATATTCCTACAACAAGTTGCTTACCTTTCTCGCAACATTTAAACTTTTGGTAGCATGATATTTTATTTAAAAACCTTTTTATATTTTTAACTGTTATAAAACGGCAAAAAGCTTAATTTTGAGAATAGGGATGGCTTTTTAAAAAAATTGTAAAATCTAACAACGAGTTAAATCGTCTGATTCTATTGGAGATTCGACCCTACTCGAGATATGACATACGATCTCTTTTGTCTCCCCATCCCGTCGATCTTTAACCATCAAAATTTAATAGAATCGATCCCCAATATACAACCTTCCTACAAAATATCAGAAATTTTCGACTAAAAGCATAGGATTATGTTTCAAAAAGGGTTAACAAAATCCTGCCCCAACACACAAACATCCATACATACAGAAAAAATCCCGAATTTTTTTGCATTTCTCAACTTTTCTAGGTCCTCTGAGTCCAAAACTGTAAAACTTTTGAAAAGGGGGGGTCATTTTTTACTGATTGCCATACTTTCCCTGTTATGTATAACAGAACGGGGAAAGTAAAAATCATAAAAATTTCGTACAAGAAGTGTTTTTTTTTTGTGTGTGAAGTTTTTGAACCACAATAAAGAAACTGAACACGCAATATCTTGTTCAAAACAATAGCGATTAATAATGTTGTGTGAAATTTATCATAATTTTGTTGTTATTTTCTATGATTACAATTATATTTAGGTTTATAACATAAAAAATGCTTATATTAATGAATTATAACTACTGTTATGTAAAAATTATATAAAGTAACCTACCTGAAAGTAAATTTTCTAAATTCGCCTGCCGAACGAGGTCTAAAAATCTAGTAACTTCCGGTCGTTTTTTCAAATCATTTAATATATTTGGAGCTGGTAAAGGATAGAAGATCCTATTAATTATATAAACGAATCCATTCACCACCGGAGACGTAGCTAATACTTCTGCACCATTTATCAATATCATCTATTAAGATATAAATTTGCATTAATACGAACTTAAATTATATAGCAACATTTAATTAAGTAAATATATTTACTCTACCCTTCTCCTTTTTAATATATTTACAACAACAGGAACACCGTTATATGTTTGTAAGCGATAATTATTTTGTAAATCGTTGACTGGAATATTTCTAGCAACCATGTGACATAAAAGAACTCTCTTCAATAATTGCACGTCATTTTGCATTTGTTGCAATTTGTTTTCGGGAAGTTTTTCAAAAGCTTCGTCCGTTGGTAAAAGTGTTGTTAATGGATCTGCAAATGATAATTAATTTAAAAATTAGATGACAAGAAGAACAGATTTGAAATTTTATTTAGATTTATATTTACTTTAATAAAATATAATTAAAATAAATCAGCAATGAGTTGCTTAACTTTTCCGGCAATATTTAAAATTTTGTGGTGCCATCCGTTATGATATTTTACTTTAAAAACTGTTTATATTTTTAATTATTATAAAATGACATAGGAATGAGTTTTATAAAAAATTGTGAATGCTAATAATGAGTAAAATCGTCATTAAGTCCGATCCTACTGTAGATACACACGATACCCATTATCTCTCCACCCCTCGACCTTTAACCTCCAAAATTTAATAGCTTCAACACCCCTAATATACAAACCTATCTGAGAAATTTCAGAAATATTAAAATTTGTACATACTTCCTTACTGATTAATTATAATTAAAGATAAATATCATGAAAAGAATACTTTATAAAAGTAGAAAAACTTACTTGTTTGAGAAAGTACCTCCATCAAACCAGCTTTTCTTAATAAATTTGTAACTATGGTAAATTTCGCTGGATGACGACCAGCAATCACAATTGGAGTTTCGAGAACTTGGAGCACAGTTTTACTAGTTCGTTGCGAAGATACAGGACTAGTAGTTGGAAAAATATAATGAATTCCTGACGTAGAATTGATCCTAGATCCGAATTCTGATGGTCTGGAATTAGAAGGCTTAATGATAATAACTGAGGATCGTGGGAGGTGAGATCCTCGAGGAGAAATTACAACAACTGAATGTCTGTCGCGCTCGGGTGTTGATACGGATAATTCTCTTTGTCTCCCTCTAAGCGACGTATCTGAATTCATTGGCATACATCGACAAAGTTCTAAAAATACTTTAGGTAAAATCAGACGATTGATAACATGAACAACACCATTAGTAACTTGGATGTCGGGTTTTACAATCGATACACCATTGACAAGTATTATACCTAAAATAAAACAAATTTATGAAGGAAGTTTAGATGTTTTAAGATTAAGTAAATCAATATTAACGTATTTATAATAAATATAAACAATATAATGACCTCGGCGAGTAGAAATAGTTAAAGCACTTCCACCAACAGTCGTAAGAAGAGAACCTTTTGTCAGAGCAGGAGTATAAATAGTGCTCTCTATTATATGGTTTTGTAAAACATCTAAAATAAATTAAATAAATGAGAGATTTATAATTACCAATTTCTAATATTATATAAATGAGAGAACTTACCCTGTAATAATGTTTGGTTATGATTTAATAGGTTTAGAGCCGAATTAGGAAGACTGAAAAATGATTCATCAGAAGGAGCAAATATTGTGTACGTTCCTTCTAAAAGTTAAAATATTTATAAAAAATAAAATAATATCGAAATAATTTTTTTAAATATCTAAAAGTTTTTACAATACCAGCAATATTTTGAATAAAATTTGTTAACTGCAACAATTCGTAAAATTTCACATGATTTTTACTTAAGTAATCGATAATATTTTGATCTGTTGTTCGTCCTAATGTTCTGTCTATAATGTATACCAATATGGCGCCATTATTTTCAGCATTAATAACTTGAGCTCCTGAAACTGTTTTTACCTATAAAAATTTTAAAAATCGAATAGTTTGTTAGTTACTTATCATTAAATATTGAAATTTTTAGGACGACTACATTAGCCTATTGGATTTATGCATAAATTATGAAATACAGGATGTTACGCTTGAAAGTACCCGATTTTAATTCGCCATATAAAATGAATGGTTTAAGACACAAAACAACAAGTGGAATCTGGTGAAAAAACTAATTAAATTTTATAGAAATTTTTTTCGTACTGCAAGATAGAGCAGAACTCGAATCATGAGCATTATTGTCCAGACATGGCTTCACTATACGAGAAAGCGTAGATCATGGCCATTAAATCTCCCAATATTTACTTCTTAGAATTTTCTGTGAAGCTACGTGAAATATATGATTTATGCAACTTCAAAGAGACCTTCAGGATCTTCGGGAGCACATCATCGTAGTCATTGCTACTGTGAAACAAGACATGCTGCAGCGTGTATAGCAAGAAATTGCTTACTGCCGTGATGTTATCACTGGAACTGCTGGAGCGCACGTAGATATGTAAGTTTTTTAATGAAATTTGGTGAGTTTTTCTCTCATATAAAATCTTTAGTTAACTTATATTTTTAGCCGTTAATTTTTTATAGCAAAATCAAATTGGATACTTTCGAGCGGAACACCCTATACTGTATTTATTGTTATTTAAAAATAATAGAATTACACGATAATGTTCTTTTATATAAAATTTTAACGAATATTTAAAACAATTTCAGTATTACAAAATAAAAATGTTCACTGTTTCCTGAAAAATTCGATATAAACGAATAATTTATTGTCGAGAAAATACAAATAACTTGTGAGCATCCTCAAAGTAATGAGATTGACTTTCTGATAAATCAATTATTTGTTTAAAGTATACCGAATTCTCGATTATCTGTGCTAAACCGTGCACGGAAATCCAAAGTAGACTTCTAAATTATATTAAAAAAAAAACTATTCAGAGTTTAAATGAATAACAATATATATATAGGCCTATATATATTTAGCCTAAATGTGTTATTTATAGCGCCAACTTTGCCTATTGCGAAATAATATTCCAGGACTAACGATTACCTATGTCAATTCGAATTGACAGTTGAGAATGACACTCTCTCATTTTACAGTAATTCTAATATTTTGAAAATGCACGGATAATCGGGAGTTTGAAGTAATATTAAGCCTTACTGTCTGTCAATAAAAATATACTCTTTCTGATAAAATACACAGATCCCAACATTTTAAAATCTATTTTTAAAAACCGATTCAACTGTATTTTTGTGATGCTATTATTATTGAATCCTGGGTTTCAAGGACTGATTTTTACATTTTAGGAAACAAAACAATTGCGTAATGCATCTATTCCATTCACTAATTAAATATTCAATCCTACAATTATTGATTTATAAAGCATTCCAGGAAAAACTGCTAGCAAACACACTGACAATTGTAATAGCGTTATGGCAATAGATCCAAATCTCATAATTACATATTTGATTTTTTGTTTTTTGAATTTCTTTCAGGTTTTAATAAAATACTATTGTAACATCACATCATTTAACTTCACGAATTTTAATCTACGGTATATACGATGTATAAAACTTGTACAGAAAGTTACACCGTGTGGTTAGAATTTCTTTATGTAATTACACCAATCTCATTACTTTCAAAATATTTCTAGAATTCATAAATTTAATGTTGGAATCTTAACGTAAAATATAATTCTCTCTTCTTAGAGTATAATAATATACATTAACAATAAATACTTACATCACCTCCGTAATATGAATTAAATCTCAAAAATGTATTATTTAAAGTACGAATCATCTGATCATTTTCTATGTTATTTAATATTAAATGCCCATTTATCATGTGACTAAGAAGAAATTCTTCTAATTTCTGTCGGTTACTTCGTAGTTCTTGTATTAAATTTTCTGGTAAGAAATCAAAGGCACTGTCGATTGGTGCGAATAGAGTAAACGTATCTAATCATAAAAAATAAGTCTGTTAAAATAATTATTATATTATTCATTTAAAAAGAATTTCAAGTAATTATACCGAATCTATTGTATTTTAAATCATAAATTTAAATGCAATTAAAAACAAAAATATATTAATGAAATTGGTTGTTCAATCTAACATGATTATTTATTACAGTTTAGAAATATAAAAAAAAGAATGTTTGAATCTTTATTTAAAGCAAATTGTAAAGTTTATATACCTTGCCATTACATTATTCTAACATTAATATATAATATTCTTTTATTTATATTTTATTCCGAACACTTAAACGACCTTTATTTATTTCTTTATTCCAACAAATAAAGGCTGTAAATCTTGCCTACAAAAGAACAGACATATATTATGCTGTTATACGGCAGTAAACTATACTCGAATTATTTTTCTTAAATTCTTGAATGTTGCCAATACATTTATAAAGAGGGGAGACGAAGACAAGATATGTCATTGAACTCTATTACCAAGAAAATTCTATTTTAAATTTTAAAAGAATGGGAATTCTTATGTCATACATAATTTTATATTTACGAAGTATCTTTTATCTTTGTATTATTAATATTTTAGAAAAACTAAAATGATGAATAAATGGACTAATATAAGACCAAAGTAATTCCAAATTTGACTTCGTTGTACTAGTAAATTAAACGTTAACTTTGCTGCACAACGAAATATTTCTAAATATTTAAAAGGAAACGGACAAAAAATTTTTCAAGACACTTAAAACTGAAACAAACGAAATATATAAAAATTACGTTATAAAGTGACTTAAAACAGTGTGTAAACAAATGATTTAATATATTTATAAATCGTAAATTAAAATGAAAAATTCATTAGACATTTTATTATTATTTAACATTCCAAAATAGCCTTATTTTTATGTACACCTAAAATTCCCAAAAAAGAGATGATTAAACTAACAATACATAGAGTGGCCACAATTTAAGAAAAATATATTCAGGAACCTTTAGTAAAACATCTGACAGACAAATTCAACAAAATTTCGTATAAGTACACTTTGCAATATTGGATTTAGATTCATAAAGAAAAAAATATTAGTATATAATTTCGCCATTTGGGGAAATGTAGCGCTGAAAGAATGCTAAAATTGCATAATATCGCAGTTTTTACTGACGACTTATTAGATACCAGGAAAACGGAAAATAATTCGCGTTATTTTGATAAAAGTGACATGCTCATCTTACCGGAATGTGCTTTGCTACTCAAGCTTTCCTAACAAAAAGGCGGTAACACTATTAATGCCCTACTTCCAGCAATTCTAGAGAATTTCAGCGATAAAGGATAAGAAGAAAAACACCAATGACAGTAACAAATTTAAGAAAATTTATTTTACGATTTGAAAATATCGAATCTTTAACAATAATATCAAACGACGGCTCAAACAAATTATTCCTCGACAACTTGAAATTGCAACTGCCGTTGCAGAACAAAGAATGACTAATCCACTAGATTCTAATGGTGCTTGGGTAATATTCAGGCAACTGTATATACCCTAAGTAAATGTGTGGAAAATCTTGCATCGAATGCTGAAGTTTTTGTCTTACAAGATGGTCTGTACTCACGAATTACTTCATGATGATGCGAAAACTCGAATGCAATTTGTTCTGACATTCTTACCTCGAATGGAAATAGATTACGACCTCAACATATTCTTGGAAGATTATGTAAAGTGACGAGACACATTTTTATCCAAACCGAGTATTAACATACACAATTACCGCATTTGGAGTGCAAATAAGTCTTGTATGTTTCAGCAGACACTCATTGAAAGTCACAGTGTGGTATGGATTCACTGCACCATTTATTATAAGTTGCTTAACATAACAAATGACTTGTTCCGTTACTTCTGTAGATATCTCGATAAACTACTCAACTATAGCGGCGAAAATGCCTCGATTCTACCATATTCATGTTAGATGATAACCACATCACTTCGCTTGCTGGTGCAGGGAGTGTTACGACAACAATCCATAGAAAACAAAATAATTAGTCATAAATTTTTCACGACACGGTCACGTCGTTTGACGGATCTCATCTTCCGTGGCTTTTTGTTGCGGGACATTAAAAAAAAAAAAAAAAACCTGGTGTATCAAGGACTTTGAAACAGAGAATAATGCTAATAATGAGGCAAATCAATTCAGATCAGTTGAGATCCGCTGTAGAAAACATAGTTCAAAGAATGCCGTTTGTAGAATATCTGAAAGGTGGACATATTAAAACCGCATTTGCAAATTAAACCAACATGAATATTAATCTCAATTTGTAACGAAATAAAAATAATCCTGTACCAAGACAAAAACCGGTTTCCAGAGTCTTTTTTAGCCATCATTTTCCAAACTTTACATGCTTTCAGCGCCACATTTACCCTGGAGGAAGAATTTTTTACTAATGTTTTCCTTTATGAATTCCTGTTCCAGAGTATTTAAACTAAATTTGGTTAACTTTCGTCCAATACATGTTTCGCTACAAAGCCCTAACATCCCATTAATTATTGCTATCGTGTATTTAAAACTTAACATTAGAAAATTTATCAAAAATAATAATATAAAAATTATAGACAAACAACATTAAATAAAATAAAATTTTAAAAATACAGTATATACACGCATAAACATAACATGTATTATATACATACAGAAAAGTAAAATTAAATATCGATAAAATATATTTAAAAATAATTAAAACTAGAATAAACGATGTATAAAATAAATGATTGAAAAGTAAATACAAGATTTTTAAATTATTACGAAATCGATTAACTCCACAAAACCAAAAGTAAAAACATTAATAATTTACATTATTTCTTAAAGTTCTTCTTGAACATTAAATTTAAATAAACATTGTAGTGTGTATTTTTGTACAATGTTGATCATTAAAAATGCTACACCAGGAAAGAAAGCAAATAGCAGAATCATATTTATGGTATACATAAAGTATAATGGGAGGAAGACATGATTAAATTGACTGGTAATCTTGAGGTACAGAGCACTTAGTATCGAAATTAATATTCGATTAAAAAAACCTATTCTAAACTAACCAGGAGCAGAATTTTTTAAAAGTTGGGTTTAAAAAAAACATTATTTTTCGTAAGGCAATTAATTAATTTTTATAATATTGACTTTTTTGTTTTTTTTTTTGAGTTCTTAATTCTTCCCAAATGGGTGGTTAAATTCCCGAAATTCCCCATGTGCACACGGCTTTGATTCTAAACGATTGGCTTAGAATCGAATTTTAATTTCACAGTTAATTAATATCCAATGGAAAACATAAATCGTAAACGATTTGAACCGGAAGAATACATGTTATATTTGTAACGCTATACTAAATGAAGGAAGTGTATTAAAAATTTACATTATCAAACAGTATTTTGATTAATACATTAACAAATAGAATTCTTTTTATATCATTATCATTGAAAGGTTAAAATGAATGCACTATGTTCTGTTAATATGGTGAAATTTTTACTTAAAACTACAGAACATCAGCTGATCACGGGTTCGTCCTTGACCAACACGCTGACCACGTGCAGTTTTCCAAATTTTCTTCAGGTGTCTAACATCTAAATGGGGATTTTCTATTGAAAGTTCTCCCAGGAGGCACTCTCCCTTGGCAGATCGCCCACGTGTTCCATTGCTCTATCCTATCATTTCATTCTATTCAATTACAAATGATCAAATATTGTTCAAAATGATAGGAACTTGAAATAGGCCAACTTCAAAATTAATGCATGTTAAATAGTGGTCAAATTATAATTCTGAAAAGTAAATCTTCATTTATTTAATTGGTATTCATATACTTTTCTTGAAATTATTATTTTAAAATCTGATACATTACAAACATTTTTCTCTTCACTTGATGCAAATATTTCGCTTTTATTGTATTCAGAACAGGATTTATTGATTACTACATAGTTTGGACCCATAGGAGTTTCTCTTGTTACCGTTTCTTTCATTACATGGAAATCTGTCACTGACTACAGAGGATCATATGAATTCAAATAATTTGGATGGGGGACTCGCAGTCACCGAGAAGTAAGCAGAGAATTCAATAGGCTCCATCCAGAACTCTGACCAATCGTGTGTTAGTAAGCTAATCGTCAAATTTAAAGAAACTGTTGCGGGTTCCACCATCAAAAGCACTTGAATTCATTCCTCTGTAGTCAGTGATATGGTTTCCCTGTAATGAAAGATACAGATATTCCCTCTAATATGAGAAACTCCTATATATATCCTGACTTACAAGACGCCTGTTTTAATCTTAATATAATTGCAATATATTTTGAATGTAACAATGAATAAAATGACAAAAAATTTATAAACATAAATATATATAATCAGAACTGTCAAAGTTATAAGGCGTTAGTCTACCGCTCTGGGAAAACCGGAAACGAATTTGGATGATTCTAATAACGCCAGGAATTTTTTCGGAGTGGTCTGTCCAGGATATGTCGGGTACCATTTCTCACCACCCAGTCGTTCCATTGGGGACCTAGTCGAACCGACGAAGGTTGTTGAAATGCCCTCTTACAAGTTAATGATCACAGGACAGAAAGACTCAGAACAAAAACAATCTATAAACACTATTACTTTCCCGTCTCTGTTACATATAACATAGAAAGTGTAGCGATCGGTCAAAAATTATTCCCCAATATTTTTAGACTCAGGGAACCTGAAGCGTTGAGAAATGTAAAAAATTCGGGTTATTTTGTGTATGGACGCTATTGTGTGGTGAGCATGATTTTGTTAACCCTCTTTGATAATAACTCCTGTGTCTTTTGTTGAACATTTCAGAAATTTTTCTAGGAAGTTTGTGTATTAGGGGGATTGATGCTATTAAATTATGGTGGGTTAAAGGTTGGGATGGGTTTTATAAAAATTGCAAATGATAATAACGAGTAAAATATTAATTCCGACCCCATCTGAGATATGTGACTCCCTCTATCATCTCACCCCTCGACATTTAACCACCAAAATTTAATAGCATCAATTCCCCTAATACACAAACTTCCCGGCAAAATTTCGGAAATGTTCGACAAGTCACAGGAGTTATTAAGCTTCAAAGAGGGTTAACAAAATCGTGCCCTGCACACACACTAACATCCATACATGCAAAAAACACACCAATATTTTTGCATTTGTCGATGTTTCAAAGTCTTCTGAGACCAAAAATCTAAAAACCGATCGCCGTACTTTTTCTCTGTTATATATAGCCTAACAGCCGGAAAAATATTAATAAAATAGTACAGTAGAAAATCGAGTTTAAACTTCGTCCAAAGACTTATCCAGTGATTTTATTCATGTTGCAAATACTAATGTAATAAAGGCACAGATATAATAAAATGTAATAAAGATAAAATGCACAGCGTTGAACATAAAATTCAAAATCTAAAAAATAAAAAGAGTAATTTTGTTTGTATGTTTATAGTAGTGTTCTATCTGTGCAGATATTGTTGAAATTCGTCTTTTATATTTCTCAACTTTTACGGAAAATTTATTTTTTTTTTTTATTTATGTACTACCCTGCGAATCTGTTCCATCGTAATTTATAAAAGAAAAAGTTCACAAAAACCCCAAATTTCTTTTAAATGACCATAAAAGTCCATTTTAGTAAAGGAATCTGTCTAAAATAGGCAGTGACGTCGTTAACATTTAATTCGTGTCTATTCATGAGAATACCGGTAAATAGTTAATGGATTTAGATGTAAAATCTTAATAATTCCTGAATATTTTGAAAATATTTACTTAAAAAGTCTTATTAATATCTATTTCCTATCTATTTACCCGAGCATCACCGGGTAGATTAACTAGTTTAATCATAATTCTAAAATAAAAATATAATTTTTTTGTATGAATATTAAAAATGTTTCGTTTTCGAGAAATGTAAAATAGATTAATATGTATTTTTGTTGGCTCATACATAATGATGAATATTACAGTTTAGCTAGTAAACATTTTATAATATATAAAACATTAGATCATTATTGCATTGGTCTGAACTCATAAATTTAAAGAATAATTACTTAAAAATGTCGAAAATAGAATTTGAATAAAACAAGTTATTAAAATAAATAAATCAATTAAGAAATATACATATGTACAGTATCTACTATACAATTAAAGGTTATATAACCAGTGGCGTAGCGTTGTGGGGGCGGCAGGGGCGGCCCGCCCCGGTGGCACATTTTAGGGGGCGGCAAAATTTCACAATAAATAATAATAATATCTCGTAAAACTTGAACCATTACATTACATACTTTCGTCGCACCTACGATTCGGACCGATTGAAATGAGCACGGAATAGTGTTACCATCCGGACAGTCCGGGATATCGTGGACAACCTGTGGACCTTTTTTTTTCTTGTACGATGCATTCGTACTCATATACACCTCCAATATCCAATAGAGGTAAGTCATCTAGGTTGCTTTCGTCACTCCCACCCAAGTCTCCCTAGTCGCTAACTGTAACTGATTTAGAACCGGCATGCACTGCACATTATTCTTCGCATTACAAAATGACATACGCATGCGTCAGGAATTTCTGTTCGAACAAACCTCACCTGCTGTCCGGATCAGCGATTTTAAAAAGGTGGCAACACTAGCACGGAATTTTTTATTACTTATTCTGTGACGAAACTGAATTTTAGTCTTTTAAATTGAGATACCTAAATAAGGGGACGGCGAGAATTTTTTTTTGCCCCGGGTGGCTGACACCCACGCTACGCCACTGTATATAACGTTTATATTTTTAGTTTTTAGAAGAAGAAAATTTAAAAATAAGGTATAGTCTATTTAAAAAGCTATTATTGTTAATCAATATTTAAGCAATAAAAGTTTACGAAATACTAAAGCTGAAGATTTCTACACAGTTAATGCATAATTCTATAATATAATCTATATTATGAATAGAGGGGTCGAAGTCGTGGGCCGAGCAAGAGAATCGCCTTATATTATAAAAGAATGAATTTTTAGAAAGATAGAAAAGTTCGTATTAACACCTCAAGAGGTTGAAAAGAATTAAACGTAGCAGTTGTCAACAAAGCTGTCAGAATAAACATATCTTTTCCATCTTTATTACTTTACAAATATTAATTACCTGTCATGAGGCACCAGACCTTTCTCCCAACCTACGGTTATCATTAAATTAACAACTATGTCTACTGGAATTAAATCTGCAATCTTTTCTCCGTGGACTAACATAGTCCTCAAAATTCCTTTCATTGCCTAAAAATACACAAGTACATATTACTGTATTTTCAAAAACTTACATAAGTATATTTAAATGTAAATAACTTACCGCTGCGATTAGACCATTAGCGCCATTTAAACTATCGTTCCATCCCTAAATGAACGAATAATAATTGAAATAATGTGTACAGTACGTTTTATTCATTTATAACATCAGTAATACTTACAGGAAGTGGTTCTTTCCAACTCGAACTTACGATGGATGGTCTAACAATAACAATAGGCAAATCCCTATAACTGGTATTTAATAAATTTTCTGCAATAGCTTTTGTTAATGTGTAAGTATTTGGTCGTCCCTCGAGGAGTTTCGGAGCAATTTTTTCCATAAAATCATCGTTTTCTAAACTAAAATGCAAGAAAAAATGTATTTTGCAATTAGAGCATTCAGAGAATCAGGCGTGTGCATGTATTATACTCCAGAGAGAATATTATATCTATGAAACTTAAATTATGTTATAATTTCAAACTATCTAGTACACAGACACATAGCTTACTCTAAAACATTCTTGTATGCTTGATAGCTTCGTGAAAGTGGGTATATTCTTTCATCTAATTCGTCTCTCTCACAGTTGCAATAAGCAGTTGATACATGAACAAAAGACTGAAATTATTTTAAAATATTTATTACGGTATTTTCCATTTTAAAACAATAAATCGAAATTATTAAATTATCAAAAATCATTAAATAATTTATATTACATTTTTAATATAATGAAAATGTAATATAAAGTAATTACCACTAAATTCTTCATAAGACGACAAACATCGGCCACATTTTTCGTCGATTGTACGTTATTACTGAAAGATTTACTGTAAAAACTTGATTAATAAGAAAATAATCTTATATTTTATTTAATGAAATTATTAAAAGTACAGAAAATTTACCGAAATGGTTCTTCGAACTTAACAGATGCTGCAACATGAAATACCACCGAAACATCTTTCGTTACCAAATCTATATCTGAAGGGGACATTCCTAAATTATCTTGTAATATATTTCCTTCAATGCAACAGACTCTATTTAAGATATCGGGTATATTACGTTTCACTTCGTCGAAAAGCTTTGTAAAGAAAAATATAAATTAAAAAATCTTCAGAATACGACATATTTTTAATTTATGTGCATTATTTTAATTTTTTTTCTTTCTTTTTACAACACATAGAACCATAAGCAATTAACTGTGAAACCGCAATTTTCAGGAAATGGGATTTGAAAATTGGACTAACCAAACATTTGCTATTTTATCGTTTGGAATTTTACATATCTGCTAATGGTCCCAAATTGAACGTGATGAATATAATAGGAATACTCTATTAATGAAAAATGCAAAATTTATAGTTAGTTACTTATGGTTCCTAATCCACGAAATAAACTAATAAAAAAAAAATGACTATTGATCGGGTTTCTCCTATCTGTGAAAAATAACTATTTCGTACACGGGAGAAACCCGAGTAATCAATGTATAATTCATTATTTATTTATCTCTGACTTTATTGTTCCTCATAATATATAGAGGACTTTCTTTCATTTCTTATAATCTTTAATTATAATCTTTAATCTTTAATCGCAAAAGACATTGTGGACACTGTTATTAGCAAATTGTAGCTTGTAACAGGCAAAAATAACCATTTAGCATCAAATTTTGCAATAACACTCCTTTATTAGTCTTGAAAATTGTTTCAATGTAGTACAGGTTTCTATTAATACATGGTATTGGCTTGTTTTGTGTATTAAAACATCTAATTTTCTGAAAAAAATTATCACATTATTATAAATTACTTTAAAAATGATTCATAATAGATGGATATTCTATCAATAATTTCTAAAATAAACATTAATATCTATGAAAATGTATTAAAAACGTTTATCTTTAAAATTTCATTGACAGAGATCCGTAATAGTAATTCCTGCTACCAGTCATTAAATGTTAAGATGACGAAATGCAGTTGTAAAGAAATTATTGTAGTTTTATAACTTTATTTTGAATATATTGACTTTTACTTTTATAATGACTATACGAATTTTAATGACTATAATGGCAATACGAATTTTTATCAAAACTTTATCAAAATTTTATCTGACAATCTGCAACTTATTCTTTACATTATACTGATTTAATTGAAGCGAAGCTTCTTCTATGAGGATTGGTTACAGAATTGTATTTGTTCTCAAAATTTAATGAATCGATTTTGATAAAACTTTGCTATTTTCCATTAATTGAGAAGAGGAATCCAGAAATGTAATTTGGGTCTATTTAAATGTAAAAAATTCAGCAATGAACCGCTTAACGTTCCCGGCAACAGTTAAAATTCTGGAGGCACTATCTGTTACGTTATATCATTTTTGAAAATCTGTTTACATTTTTAATTATTATAAGACTGCAAAAAGCTTAATTATGAAGGTAGGGATGGATTTTATAAAAAAAAATTATAAATGCTAATATCAAGTATCACACACAATCGCAGTACGCACAATCTCCTAGTTTTAGATCATAACCAATCTATGACATACAACCTATCCCAGATTCGTGAATAATCAAAATAGTGATATTGGCAGAATAAAATGGGATGAGTAGAATGAACAATGATTCCATTCTCTTTATCTTATTATGTGGTGAATCGGATTTTTTGTTTGTTTGTTACATTTCATTCGACTTAATTATGTAAGTCAGTTAAAGAAAACTGTACAGTAATAATAATTTAATGCATTTTATTCAATGTAGTTATTAAATTAAAGAGAAAAAAATTCAAAAATAAAACATCTGGTTGGATTAACAGAATATGAAATAAATCATGCGTATATTTTGTAAATGCTCCTGGACCTTTTTCAAGTAACTTGATCGTGAAGGTCATTTTACATATCTTGGCCGGGAGCGTTGCGTTATCTTGAAAGAGATCAAGTTGAATTTCAAAAATATATATGCCCTATCAAATTTTATTATGGAAAAAATAATATATAATAATTTACCATCCAGTATTCCTTTCTCCTCGCGTTTTTAAATCTAAATTCTTAATGAAATACTATGTATGAAATTATTTATTAAGATTAAACTTTAATTTCCAATTCGTTTACTAATTGAGGCTACAGATTGCCACATGTTTATATTAATGCTTTGAACGTCTAAGATGAATATGATTCTAAGAATTATTCTACGAAACGAAAATAAAATCAATAAACAATTCTGTATTGATAATTTAAATATTTAAAATACAGAATTAAAATTTCTGAGAAATATGAATTTTAATCGCATTCAAACTTAAATCTATTTTTCCTCTCCAATGAAGGTTAGTTTTTTAGATGATTTATAAGCTATATAGAGCACCTACGGTATTAATTGTCTATTTATTTATGTAATTATATCAGCCATGATAATTTCCTATTATATAATAAGAGAAGAATAATAAGAGAAGCTGTTAAAACTACCCAATATCAAATATGAAAATATCAATTGAATAGTACCAGATCCTTTTACTTACGCTATTTGATAAGTTATATGTTTACTTTTTAATACAGAATTATATATTTAATATTTAGAAACTTTATTAATTTTATTTTTTAGTATAAGTTTGTGCCTTGCATCGTATACACTTACTAAACTTATCGAATGCCTTTTTGTTCAGTAAATTTATTGAAGGTTTACGAAATAGAGGAAATGCTTTTCTATTTAAAAATTAAATTTGAATTTACACTTTTTAATGAGTATTTCTAATAAATCAGAGTTAATTACTTAATTAAATAAGTCAAATTCAATTACTTAAGCAAGTTTATTTATCGTCAATTATAATTGTTTAAAATGTCATTATTAAATAAAATCTTATCTTGATGACTACAATAGGTTTATTGAACAAAAAAGCGTGTTAAATATTGTTTAAAACAAATACTTATTTCAAAATACGAAGACTGACATTAATTAACACTGTAACAAATTCCGCTGTGACGCGACAAACGCATTGAGGTTAGTGCCACATATTTCTCNCGTAGAAACTAAAGAGAAAATAATTGAATTTGCTTCACGTGTTTTACAAATGCCCGATATTAAAATCGGTAGGGCAATGAGAGTTGGAAAGAAAAAAGCTAATTCCCCAAGACTGATTATTTGTACTTTTGTTGATTATTATGAAAAAATGTACTTTAAGAAACGAGTTTTGGAGTTAAAACCGGATGGTGTCTATGTAAATGATGATTTCTCTCCCAGAGTGAGAAATATTAATTCTTTATTTATATTTAAATTTTAATCTCTTACATTCTGCAAATTTAAAGTTCTGTTTATAGAATTTAAAGTATTATAAATATAAAATTATATATTTATACATGTAAATATATACATATATAAATATTTATTATATAAATAAATAATAAATATACAAATAAATTCAAATTTAGTATTCCGGAAACAATAATAATATAAAGATTATTACATACGTTATAAATGTCAAACCTAATAATAATAAAATGTCAAACTTACCTTTAACGCAGTCAAGTCAAACAATGATAAACATTCACAATTAAAGAAGAGATTCGCTTTCTCCTCCACCTTATTTACTTTCCCAGTGACGTCACCAAAGTTGTCCTACTTAAAATTTAGAAAATAAAAAATCGGTATTTTAAGCTTTTATACTAGGAACGACTGTACGTTTATTGTCTTTTTATTTTAAAAAATACTCACTTTTCCTACAAAACCAGTAGCTCCCGTAACGAATATTTCACGATTTCGATAAAATTCAGGAATATCCATAATTTTTATTTCTAATATCAAAATAATTACATAAATATCAACTTGAATACTTCTTCTAATTATGTAAAAAGTTAAGAACCTCTTTTATATTGATTTTTCGATTAATATTTTATCGATTAACTGATTCGACCAAATCTACTATGATGATGGAATCATGTGATCGTTTGTTGTAAATATGGCTATTCGATTTGATTGGTTCCGCCTTTTGTATATGAGAGAAAATTGTCAAGTGACGTTCTTCGCATAAATCTATAGAAGTAAATAAAAAGTTAAATAATGTGGCCTTGAATTCCTTTCCTGTTGAATGCTTGACAGAGAATTTTTAACAAAGATAATTTTGCAATAAGATTAATCGACAAAAGTTTGGCGTCAAATATTATCTTTTATCCCTTTAAATTTAATATCTTCGATACACATTAATTAAAGAATATACACGTGAAAAGACTTCCTCGTCGATTTTCAGAACACAGTTTCTTAAATTTAAAATCATCAAAATTACATAAAATATTATAAAAATACAGTAATACCTCGACTTACGCTACCCCGACTTACGCGATTTTCAAATCTCGTCGATTCGTCTTTTGTTTGAACGCCACGCAACTCTTGATTACTCACTCCCCCACACTATTGTTCAGCTTACTTGTTCGAACGTGTCGTGCAGAAATCGACACATAGCTACAATTTATTTTGTGTTATTTATTTCTGTGTTTGTTATATCTACGGAGACTCGAGAGACTCTATGTGGTGATTTCTTGTAACCGTGAACGAATCAAAAGACGAGATAAGATTAACGAGAACATTTATTAGCTTACATACAACCGGCTTGGATTTTACACAAATTGCGAAATTATACCCCAACTTACACGAATTCGACTTACGCGGTTATCGCTCGGTCCCACCTATCGCGTAAGTTCGGGGTATTACTGTATTGCAAAGTTAATTTAGTTCCAGTTAATATTTTCGTCTGTAATTATAAGATTAAGATGAATTTTAATATAATTTAACCTGGTTAAACGATAAAAATATTATTATTTTAAGCATTCGCAATTAATGTTCTAATTAACTTAACTTTTCCTTAAATCGTGAAACATAAAGTCATAAATTATATAAATATTCAAAACTTCAGATACAATAAATAGCTATAAATATAATAAATGATTTAGATCACAATCTGATATATTTTTAACGTACAAACATAAAATCAAGGACGTCAACAAATTAATTTAGACACGATTGTCAAGCGTATGTTTAACACGCCCGAAAACATAACACTTTTATAATAAAATATGATATAAATCATGTGTAACTTACCGGAGAGAAGAGCTACTAACCTATAATGTTTAAATTGACAATTCGTAAAAGATTCTTGTTATTAAAATCAAAAGTCAAGAGAATTCAAAACTTTTGACGTAATCAACTTTATTAAAAATACTCTCCAATATATATTCTCGGAGCCAATTAAAATATAATAATTTATATGATTGTGTAACGTTATAACACGATTGTAAAATCGAAAACTCTGTTTGATACGATTTTCCCCTTTAATTAATTCAATCACGTGATGAAAAAACTTTCGCGAGCCTTTTCTTGGAAAAATATGTTAAGAATTAGTTTATTTAGTCATAAATGTGTTAACGATATTTTAAAAATACGGTAACACACTTTCTTTCTTACAGTTCTTTTCATTATTTTTTAATTGTTTTTATGTTAAGTAATATCCGTCTCTTATTTCTGATATAATGCTTCCAATTATTTAAATAAAAGTAATTATATTTTGTACGAAATTTCAATATTTCACGATAAACAAACAAATTTTAATGAAATTATGTAATTTATAATTCAAACAGAAACGAAAATAGAATTCTTTATTTATATTTAGCCATGATAATTTCCTNGTTAAAAAATTTGGATGAAGGTTTGGCTGACTTAGATATTAGATTAGAAACATTAGAAAAATTGGTTGATAAAAACTGTAGTTTAAGTGATCAAAGTAATGTTACGAAAAAGTTTAATGATATTACTCGCGAACTTGATTTTTTGGATAGTCAACGACGAATAAATAATGTTGTCATTTCCGGTTTGGAGGAGATTCGGGATGAATCTTCCGTAGAAACTAAAGAGAAAATAATTGAATTTGCTTCACGTGTTTTACAAATGCCCGATATTAAAATCGGTAGGGCAATGAGAGTTGGAAAGAAAAAAGCTAATTCCCCAAGACTGATTATTTGTACTTTTGTTGATTATTATGAAAAAATGTACTTTAAGAAACGAGTTTTGGAGTTAAAACCGGATGGTGTCTATGTAAATGATGATTTCTCTCCCAGAGTGAGAAATATTAATTCTTTATTTATATTTAAATTTTAATCTCTTACATTCTGCAAATTTAAAGTTCTGTTTATAGAATTTAAAGTATTATAAATATAAAATTATATATTTATACATGTAAATATATACATATATAAATATTTATTATATAAATAAATAATAAATATACAAATAAATTCAAATTTAGTATTCCGGAAACAATAATAATATAAAGATTATTACATACGTTATAAATGTCAAACCTAATAATAATAAAATGTCAAACTTACCTTTAACGCAGTCAAGTCAAACAATGATAAACATTCACAATTAAAGAAGAGATTCGCTTTCTCCTCCACCTTATTTACTTTCCCAGTGACGTCACCAAAGTTGTCCTACTTAAAATTTAGAAAATAAAAAATCGGTATTTTAAGCTTTTATACTAGGAACGACTGTACGTTTATTGTCTTTGTTTATGTTTGATCTTTAATTTTATGAGCTTTAATTTTTTTACTTAAAAATTAGCTACATAATGATTCAAAATTGTCTATTTTGGAAGAGGGGAGAGATTACTTTAGAAATTTTAAAATATTAATCTGTTAATATAATTAATATCGACTAGGAATTTTGTTACTTAATAAGAAATAATTATTTACTTTTTCGATAAAAAATTAATACAGTATAGTCTAAACCGGTTTTACAGTATATTTATACTTTTTCATTCGTACGTCTTTATCTGTTCGATGAATAACTTATAAGCTTTTTAAGACATAAAATTGAAATTTTCGTGATTTTTCTTCGACATCAAGTTTTATCAAGGTTAACAGACACTCAGAATCCCTATACAAAATGAAACATAAATAAATAAACTTGAGAAACTTTAAATATTACAAATATTTTTCAATTAAAGTTTGGATATTCCTAATATTAACGAGTTTTATTTTTGTGCTTATTTATCACAAGGTATGTTTATTGTTTCAAGTTATTAGCTGTGATCAATACATTTTTAAAAAACTATTTTGAGGAAAAACGCATACAAGCATAGCTTTATACACTACTTTAAAACTACTTTAAAATATATTATTAAATAAACGACAAGTGTAATAAAATTATTATTACATATATTTCATCTTGGTTTCATCTAAACCAATTATAATCGATTTATTATTTTTTTTTTCTTTTACTACATAGCCTAGATTTTTCTTTTTTATTCATCTATTAAAAAGGATATTCTCATTTGCAACTTCACATTTCCTTTAACTATAAAATTCTTTAATATTTGATTATATAAATAAACTAATTTTATAAAAATGGTTGAAGTTTATTAAGCAAAGTAAGTATAAAATTAATGTTATTATAATACTGTATATATTTAAAGGAAGCACATAAAGCAAAAAGTGTGTAAAATTTTTTTATAGATTTATTTTGTGAATAACTAAATTTTCTATCGCTTCTTAGTTTTTAAAATAATTCAAAAACAAATTATTATTATTATTATAATTTTAAAAATTAAGTCTCATTCGTTATCTCGAACAATTTCAGCAAATTATTCTTTTAATTATTTATTTTTTTATAATTATTTAATAAAATAATATTACATAAAATTAAAAAGCTTCAAACTTTATTTGTTCCTTGAGTAATTTCACATTGCATCACTTTTTAAGTCAGGGTAAACTATTGTCTGAAGCGATCGAACTTCAGTTTTAAACAGATTTCAGCGATGTATCAAGGTAAAAAAAATTATCTAATCTACGATTCTGTAAATAATATAAGTTAATTAATTTTAATTAATTATACTTCAATTTCTTACTTACAAACTCTATATAGACAATTAATATAATAAAAATGTGATTAATTTAAAAATCAAATATAACACGTCGTTTAAGAATATGCGATTTTGTATTTTAAATAATGCAACTTGCATGACTATTTCTTTTGTTCCTATTTTATTTATAGAATTTTTTTTATTATTCTAATTTAAAAATTAAATGAAATACTTACCTTTTGGTTTATAATGATAAAAATTAATAAATAATTTTTTTAAAAAAAGTTTAGAATGGGTTATATCTGTGTACATTGTAACATATTATAAATTTGGTTTTACATTTTTATTATATATTAAAAGTTAAATGTCAGATATAAATGCAAATTCGTAAATTAAAAAACAACTTTATTACCTTACAATTGGTTTTGTAGTTATAGTTTAAACAACATATCGAAATCAGTAACGTAAGCAGTCAAACCACGTTTTTTTTTCATGTACAAAATAAAGTAAAACAATGTAAAAGAATAGCTTTAAACATTCAGAGATTTAACTAATAAAATATTATTCTCAAAAATTCACTAAATAATCTAATTTATTTGCCATAAAACTGTAATAATTATGCTTTCCAGATAAATAGATATCTCTCCTAATTACTTAACTAAATAAATTAGTCATTAAATGAATTTTTTAACTAAGAAGAAGTCAAAACTTTGCAACAAATAATTAAAATTATACTATTGTAAATAAAACGAGGTGTACATTTAAACAAATTTCGAATTTTTAACTTCCTTTAAACGTTTTTTCCTGGATATTTATTTAACTAGATATTATTTACAACAATAATTATCTAAATCTTTACCACTGTTTAATATCACTACATGAATAGCATGATAAGAATTATAATGCATCATTTACTTAAATTAATTTTACAAACTTTATATTTTTATTTTTGAAGTTTAATTTCGTAAATTTAATGTATACGGAAATATAGGCCTATATTTATATATAACGTGTTATTTATATATAACTATATATAAATATAACTATGTTAGTTAAACATGTAAAAGTAAAGAATAATTAACTAAAATAAAAGTAAAGAAATTAGAGAAAGTAAAGAAATTAAAAGCCCAATAAAAAATTATTAAGTTTTTAATTTAATGGATATTATCTATCCATTAATATTTTCTTCGAAAACTTTAATGTATCATGAAAATCAATATTCAATTTTATTTTATCATCGAAAAATACTATTAAATACGTGATAAATGCTCACAAAAACCCGATGTATAATTAACAGAACGTTCCATAATAACTATCTGAATAATAATTTATATTAACAGTTGAATCGGAAAAAATATTGGTTTTTCATTTTTTGTAAAGCCATATACTGTATTTCTAACATCACTAATTACGAATAAAATTAATTTCTTCTCCAATTATTTGTATTGAAAAATTAGACAGGTCAGATAATCAATCAATATATATTATAAAGGTAAGTGTACAATGTGCGTGCCGCTAAAACTCAAAAACTAGTCCCGATCCGTGTCAAGGAAGTTATATGGTGTGGTAGCCCTCTATCCCCCATCCATGAAGAAGGCTCCCTTTTTTACCTGAACGGCGTGCTGTTGAAGATGTAAGGACTGGAAGTTTCGTCCTCTAGAAATTTCTAGAACAGTCCAGAACATTCGAGAATCTTCGAGAGCATTCGGCAACATTCCAGNGCGATGTATCAAGGTAAAAAAAATTATCTAATCTACGATTCTGTAAATAATATAAGTTAATTAATTTTAATTAATTATACTTCAATTTCTTACTTACAAACTCTATATAGACAATTAATATAATAAAAATGTGATTAATTTAAAAATCAAATATAACACGTCGTTTAAGAATATGCGATTTTGTATTTTAAATAATGCAACTTGCATGACTATTTCTTTTGTTCCTATTTTATTTATAGAATTTTTTTTATTATTCTAATTTAAAAATTAAATGAAATACTTACCTTTTGGTTTATAATGATAAAAATTAATAAATAATTTTTTTAAAAAAAGTTTAGAATGGGTTATATCTGTGTACATTGTAACATATTATAAATTTGGTTTTACATTTTTATTATATATTAAAAGTTAAATGTCAGATATAAATGCAAATTCGTAAATTAAAAAACAACTTTATTACCTTACAATTGGTTTTGTAGTTATAGTTTAAACAACATATCGAAATCAGTAACGTAAGCAGTCAAACCACGTTTTTTTTTCATGTACAAAATAAAGTAAAACAATGTAAAAGAATAGCTTTAAACATTCAGAGATTTAACTAATAAAATATTATTCTCAAAAATTCACTAAATAGTCTAATTTATTTGCCATAAAACTGTAATAATTATGCTTTCCAGATAAATAGATATCTCTCCTAATTACTTAACTAAATAAATTAGTCATTAAATGAATTTTTTAACTAAGAAAAAGTCAAAACTTTGCAACAAATAATTAAAATTATACTATTGTAAATAAAACGAGGTGTACATTTAAACAAATTTCGAATTTTTAACTTCCTTTAAACGTTTTTTCCTGGATATTTATTTAACTAGATATTATTTACAACAATAATTATCTAAATCTTTACCACTGTTTAATATCACTACATGAATAGCATGATAAGAATTATAATGCATCATTTACTTAAATTAATTTTACAAACTTTATATTTTTATTTTTGAAGTTTAATTTCGTAAATTTAATGTATACGGAAATATAGGCCTATATTTATATATAACATGTTATTTATATATAACTATATATAAATATAACTATGTTAGTTAAACATGTAAAAGTAAAGAATAATTAACTAAAATAAAAGTAAAGAAATTAGAGAAAGTAAAGAAATTAAAAGCCCAATAAAAAATTATTAAGTTTTTAATTTAATGGATATTATCTATCCATTAATATTTTCTTCGAAAACTTTAATGTATCATGAAAATCAATATTCAATTTTATTTTATCATCGAAAAATACTATTAAATACGTGATAAATGCTCACAAAAACCCGATGTATAATTAACAGAACGTTCCGTAATAACTATCTGAATAATAATTTATATTAACAGTTGAATCGGAAAAAATATTGGTTTTTCATTTTTTGTAAAGCCATATACTGTATTTCTAACATCACTAACTACGAATAAAATTAATTTCTTCTCCAATTATTTGTATTGAAAAATTAGACAGGTCAGATAATCAATCAATATATATTATAAAGGTAAGTGTACAATGTGCGTGCCGCTAAAACTCAA